ATAAATTTATCTTATACATGAGTACAGGCAGTCCCCGCATTATAAACATTCAACTTACAAATGGGGAAGAGACAACAGGAAGTGAGAGACATTTAGTCCTAGGAAGAGAAATTCACTCCTGAAAGAGTTATCATGGAGAAACGGTGTCTCCACTGAAGCTTTCTCTCCCATCCTTTGTGACCGCCTATCTTTGTGATCGCATCTTCTACCATAAACCTGCATGATCTCTTCGATCTTCTGGAGAGGCCCTCCTTTTGCCCTTCCTCTATCACAAGCACGACTTATGGGAACAAGGGAGAGAGCCTTCTCCGCTGTGGCCTCCCGACTTTGGAACTTGCTACCCGGGGAGATTAGGCAAGCCCCCACCCTAGCAGCCTTTAAGAAAGATCTAAAAACTTGGCTATTCTGATGTGCTTTCGGAGAGTGACCATGCAACCCATTTTGTTTGTTTCCATCTATAGTTGTCCTCACGATGCACTTTCCCCCTGTCCTTAATAAAGCCAAACCCCACTGCTCCCCATTCTTGGACTCCTCCCTCACAAATATACTTTTTATTCCTGGATCCATTAGCATTTCTATATTATTTCTGCGATGCCATAGAAAAGGTTCAAACCTTCAGTATGTTGGGTTGCAACCTTTTCTAAGTATCTCAACTCCTTCTTTAAAGTAAAATAAAAAGGTTGAGCATCTTTACTCAGAATTCTGAAATACTCCAAAATTCACAATGGTCTAGAACTGTGGCTAAGATAGTGCCACATCTGCTTTTTAACAGTTCAATATACACAAACATTCTTCCGTGCACAAAATTTCCAATACTGTATATAGCATTACTTTCAGGCTATCTCATTGTGTTCATACATGCAAATAGAGTTATCCCAAAATCCAAAACACTTTGGGGCCCAAGAATTTCTGATAAGGAATGGTTAACTTGCATTAGCCCTAAATATTAATTTCCCATCTCCTTTTTCACTTCCTTTGAGGCCATCTTCATGTTAGACATCAAACTGTCAATATAAAAAGTTGTGTATTTTATTACTTCTTATTGTTTATATAGCTAGCAATTCTAATATTTAAAAATGACAACATGAAGCATCAAAATACACAAAAGCAGAGGCCTTACTTTCTTGAAAAAGGCAACTGCACATTGTTTGAATTCACTGTGCCAGCTAAAATGTTGGAATTCAAACATACAACAAATCTTTGTCCCTAAAGGTGACTGCATTCTTTAATATGAGGAAGAGAAAGAGCCAATTACAGACCAATTGCATGACACGCAAATTCATGAAGCGTTCCATATTTTTAGGGATCCAAGAAGATATTGTATTTATTTTATTTATTGTATTGTATATTACTTGTAAGCTTCTCTGAGTCCCCTTTGGGGCGAGAAAGGTCATAAATAAATAAATAATTCTGTGTTGGATTTGCATCACCCATTCTTTGTGATTTTTCTGGCTTCTGATCCAAATAATTGCTTTGAAATATTGTCCACAGAAAAGATGGCTATAGCAAAATCTGGATAATTACGAGATATTCGCTGACTTGTCATAAAACAAAACAAAGGGAACACCAATCAGGACATATGGAAGACACTAATCTCTGAAGGCAGAATAACCAACAGGTGCAAGGGAGTGAAGTGACTTAAAAGTCGAGAGAGACACCGGGAATGGGCAAACTTTGGTCCTCCAGGTGTTTTGGACTTCAACTGTTAGGAATTGTGGGAGCTGAAGTCCAAAACACCTGGAGGGCCAAAGTTTGCCCAAGCCTGATATAGGCAGTGTAGACACGTATAATCCAGCAAAGCAGATAATGTGGAATATCTGATTTGATAATCTGGATTATATGGCAATGTAGAAGGGGCCTGAGAGGAATCAAATCCCACATTATCGCCTTTGAACTGGAATATATGGCGGTGTGGATTCAGATAACTCAGGTCAAAGCAGATATTGTGGGATTTTCTGACTTGATATTGTAGGATATAGGGCTGTGTGGAAGGGCCCCAAGTCTTAACATCATCACAAGAATATCAAGAAAAGCTCTCTCATGGTCCTTCCACACAGCCATATAACCCAAAATATCAAGGGAGAAAATCCCACAATATGCGGTTTGAACTGCGTTACCTGAGTCCACACTGCCATATAGTCCAGGTTCAAAGCGGCTAATGTGGGACTTTATTCAGCTGTGTGGAAGGGGCCTATAAAGGGTCTCTCCTTCATCCGCTTCGTGGCTTTTAAGGCCCTGGTAACTCCCTTATTTTGGAGTGTCTTTCCCACGGAGAGTCCAGACCTCGCCTATCTTTTTGCTCTATGCCTCCCTCCCCGATTCACACCATGCGAACAGATCCTGACTGAACACACGTGGGGAGCGGTTTTTGTCCCGACGTGACCGCACCGCAGGCCGAGGCGTGTCGCGCGCAGGGCCTTCCCTGAGGCGGAGCGCGAGCCAGCCCTTGCCACCCACCTGCTTTGCCGGAGAGAGAGAGAGAGAGAGAGAGAGAGACGCGGGGGGGAGGGAGGCGAGGCGGGGACAAGGCCTCGGCTTCGGGGGCTGCTCAGAGAGTGGTGTCGGCGTCTACGCGGCTTCGGCCCCCAGCACTATGGCAGCGACAGCGGCGTCCTGTCCCGTCCCTCCCCTCGCCAGCTCTCCCCCTCCCTCTTTTCGGGGTTCAGTTCCGGGCTGCCATTTTGTCGGTGGGCCTCTTTCTCGCCCCAGGTTCCCGGATGTGAAAACTTTTCTCCCGGCCTCCTTTGCGCATTCCGCCGGCAGTCTGCTCTCGCGCACCCTTCCTCTCCCCCCCCCCCTTTGGAGAAGGAGGCCTTCAGTCGGGCGCCGCCTCCGAGACAGGCAGGGAGCGGGCGCCTCAGCCACACCACGGCTGGAGGAGGGCTCTTTGACTCGGGCCAGGGCCAACTTGGGCCCTCCCTGCAGGCCTTTTGGACTTCAACTCCCACCATTCCTCGCAGCCTCAGGCCCCTTCCTTTTCCCCCTCGGTCGCTTAACAGTTTGACTCAGGCCTGGACCAACTTGGGCCCTCCCTCCTGGTGTTGTGGACTTCAACTCCCATCATTCCTCAGGCCCCTTCCTTTCCCCTCTCAGCTGCTTAGCTGTTTGACTCGGCCCTGGACCAACTTTGGCCCTCCCTGCAAGTGTTTTGGACTTCAACTCCCACCATTCCTCGCAGTCTCAGGCCCCTTCCTTTCCCCCCTCAGCCGCTTAGCAGCTTGACTCAGGCCTGGGCCAACTTGGGCCCTCCCTGCAGGCCTTTTGGACTTCAACTCCCACCATTCCTCGCAGCCTCGGGCCAGGGCCATAGCCAGAAAAATTTTTTGGGGAGGGTTGAAAATTTCGGGGGTGGGGAGGGGAGTTGAAGCCTGCCTCTTAGCTCATGCTGAAGCAGAGTACAGCAGGGGGCAGAGCAGCCTTCAATAGCCTGCAGCTCCGCCCCTGTCAACCACCTCCACCAAGTCTGGCCTCCTTAATGAGAGCATTCAACACACACACAACTTGGTTGCTTCACTACATCAGCTATTGCTGCAAGTAATGACAGTGTGAATAAATTGTCAATATTTGCTTGAGATAGTGCTTGCAGTTCTGGAGGGACTCTTAATTTTTTGTGTCTCATAGACTTAGCATGGGGATTTGGTTAACCAGTTAAAATTCATGAGTAAACCAGTTTTTTTAACCTGAAAAATTTCGGGGAGGGAGGGAACCCCTAACCCCCCCCCCCTTGCTACAGGCCTGCCTCAGGCCCCTTTCTTTTCCCCCTCAATTGTTTAGCAGTTTGACTCAGGCCTGGGCCAACTTGGGCCCTCCCTGCAGTTTTGGACTTCAACTCCCACCATTTCTAAGGCTGGATCTCGCATTTCTTGCAGCCTCAGGCCTTCCTGTGAATTGGATTAAATGACAGTGTAGACTCATATAATCCAGTCCAATCTGCATTCTGAAACTACATTATATGGCAGTATAATAATAACAACAAAACCTTATTTGTATCCCACCCTATTTCCCCAAAGGGACGCAAGGTGATTTCCAACATAAAAGGCAAAACATTCAATTGCCAAAAAAAAAAAATTCACAGATTAAAATAAAAGCATCATAAAACACAAAAATCCTACTAAATACAACAATAAAAATTTAAACTGATTGCAGTTATAACTCCCATCAGACAAGGCTCAACAAAAACCAATGTCCAGGACTATAAAACGGGCATGGTTAACTATAAAAGGGCTGGGCAAGGAATAATGGAAACAGGGTATCATAGGGCTGAGGAAGTGATGAACGTGTAGAACCAGGAAGCTGGTTAAATCTCAGCATACTGATCCTGAAATCAGGCAGACTGAAAATCCTTGAGATTTACCATCAAGTAATGCCAGGATGATAATAGAAATGAAATGCTAATGATGTATGCTTTCACAATATTTCTGACTTATGGCAACTATATAAATGGGTTTTCTGGGGTGGAGAGTATTTGACTTTCTCAAGGTCAAAAAGTGGGTTTCCACGGCCAAGCAAGAAACTGAACTCTTGCCTCCAGCCATAGTTTAATGCTTAAACCACAACACAATGCTGGCTCTCTAATGAAATATAGGCTAAATGTTGTTTTATAGTTTACTGCAGGAACAGGGCAGTTGAAGTTCTCTGGATATTAGGTTCCAGTTCCCAATCTGGTCAGTATTAGGGTATAGATTATTAACACACTTATTCGCCTCTGCTTTAGTGAAATAGATAAAATATTTTTGTACCTAATGATCTGTTTCTGTTTTCCTTTGCTGGATGATATTTTCTTCTAACATTGCCGAAAAGTCTCTTAAATGTAATATATTGTGTTTTTATTTATCAGAATTTAATGAAAACAATTTTTTGCTTAGAATGTTGATGTGTTGCCATTATGGTTAACACAATATAACACAATTCATACTGCTGATGTGGGTCACTTTATCCTTTGTTGTAGTTTTCAGCATTGGTAAACTTCTGGGAAACAGGAATAATCAATCTATGAACAATAACTGTTTACTGTTTATTTTATGCAAGAATTAGATTAAAAAAACTAATGCTGTAACATGGATTGTATTGCATTTGCCCTTCTATATTCTTAATTGACATAAAATAACATGAAATTCAGTATTGTGAAGCTAAAGTTTCGAGTCAGAGCTAAAGATAACTATGCGAAGAAGTTTTTCTTAACATAGATAGATTCTGCATCAGTTCCATATACAAGACATGATCCTAAGACATCTAAACTATTAACAGACAGTGTAGGATTTGAAATTAAATTTGTGATTTCTCTAGTAGGATCGTTCCTTAACCATGCACTAATCACAGACTGAGACTGAGGCAAAAATGTGGTACTTCTCCCACCTGAAAACAAAACACAAAAATAGTTATCATCACAACTGCATATTTTGCAGATTATTTATTTATTTATTTATTTGCTTTATTTCTATACCGCATTTTTCAGCCCTTAACAGGCGACTATTAATGTAATAGTTAAGACAAGCACATGCACTTTATACTTAAACATTAGGCCTGGGTAACAACGGAAAAATTTGTTTCTAAAATCGATTCGTTTTTTGGGGGTTTTTGCATTTCGATATTTAAAAGAATTCCGAAATTTTTCTTTTAAAAAGTTCGATATTTACGAAATTTCGTAAATGTAAAAAAAATTTACGAAACATTAACGAAACAAATGTGAAACAATAACGAATCGATTCGTTAATGGCGGACGCGACCGCGCAATACGTTAAAAAAACCTCCAAATGGGACAGGGGGAACTTCTGAAGCTTCCCTCTCCCTCTGTTGTTGACTGTTGGTGTGATATTATAATTTTTTTCACTAATTAAACAAAAAACAACTATAAAACTTGCCCCAGACATGCGGAAATAATAACGAAACGACCTCAAACCGATAACGAAACGAATACATAACGAATCCTAAGCATTTACGAAACGAATTTAAAAATTCGTTTCATTTTTAAGTTGCTCCAGAATGGATCGTTATCGCTTCGTTATAAAAAAAATAACGAATTTTTAACGAATTACGAATTAATGAAACGAAACCGCCCAGCCCTATTAAACATCCTTAAAGTGTTGAGCTTTGTCACTAATGTGCCAGAAATACAGCTTATACGCTATAGACCTCCAGAACCATTAAACCATTATCTCCTTGCTTCATGAGAAGTTAGAGTAAAAGCAAATATTTAAATATTAAGTCGGTATCACTTTTAGGCTCTTCTCCCCAAGTAAAAGTGGAGGTTTCTTTGTCTGAGTAGGAATTTGTACCCTGGTCATGAGTTCTAGTCCAACACTCAAAACACTATACCACACTGGAATATAGATCACATAAAGGTTTATTTCACCTTTATCAAGGAAGATGCATATAATGATGGAAACCAAGTGAACATGCCAAGTTAAAAATTACTGTGCTAAAAGAACGGCGGGGAATCTCTTGTCAATGCAATTGCTTAGAAGCTTAAATAAGATTTACCTGTATGAAGGTAAGATTTCCTTTCAGACACATCAGTGGAAGCATCCCAGTGCCACAGAGTTCCATCCTCTGAACATGTGAACAAGTGATCAGGATTGGAAGGATGAAAGTGCACTTCCCACACTGAAAAAAATATATGGCAAGCTTATTTTTGTAGTTTATAATGTAGACATATGCTCTGTTGGTAACTATTAACAATTCAGTATTTTGTTGCTAGAGGGCAGCATTATGCTTCCATTGGCTCTTGTAAGATAAGCTAATAAAACCCTGGAGGCTAGGATGAAACACACCTGATACTTTCTAGCTGAAACCTCTTACAATGAATGTTGAGTATTTTTTTTATGCACAGGGGAGCCTGTGAAGCTATTTTTGTGGCGCTTCAGGCTCCACCTCCCACCTCAAGTGAAAGGCATCTTCAAGGAAACTCTAGGAATAGTGATTTCTTTTTTAAATAGTCTGCTGCATCCTTGCATCATTTAACAGTAAATGATACAAAATTTCTAAAATTTAAAGTGGACTTGAAAACTGGTCTTGCCCTTTTTTTTCAGTCAATGTGTCCCTGGGATAAAAACTGCCCCTCTTGACCACTCTTATTTTCCTAATCTTATTCTCTACATTGGTGTGAATTCTCTTGGGCCCATCAATGCTTTATTTTCCATTGCTTCTTAATCCAGTCAAGTCACTTGTCAATTGATAAGAGCATTTTTGCAAATAGTACTGCATTTTAATTCCTTTGCCATAGCCCTAATGCCCCCAAGTATTATTCTATTTCTTTCATAAATCCAACATTCCTGAGTTAGCCCATTGTCTTGTGATTCTCTGTTTCTAAGACTGTTAACTTGTTTTCATCTGCACCACCAACACATGTATTGATACAGAAAGTGTCAATTGAGGGCAGACACTTTGTCTGACTTGCTGTTTAGAGTTTCTAGTTGGCTGGGTATGGGAATATAAAAGGCAAGTACAGACTGCCCAATCATGTATATGCCAAATAATAAAGAAAAAGAGATTTACTGAGCACTACGGGGATTTCTCTTACACATATGGAACATTTTACACATAGTGGTAGTGTCATCAAAGATTCAAACATGAAATCTGTTTATTTAGTTACTTACATTCTGCTTCGTGAGCATTCAGCAAGGAAACTGGTATGTCACCTTGTCTCACATCCCAGATACTCAACATACCATCTTGGCTACCAGTGGCTACAATGTGCTGTTGGCTGGGGTGCCTATCTACACAGTGTAGTGGAATCCTTTCCCCCGTCCTGCAAGAAGAGAGCAAGACATACTTTGATGGAAAATCCACAAAGACAGTAGTCAGAGTCCTAGCTGAATAAAATGTCACATACCGTAGTTACAGTGTGACATTTGGCTCTGACAGTGCCCATAAGCTCAGAATGAAGTGCTTACAATGAAAATATTTGTGAAGGCTCATTTCCTTGCTGTCTGAAATCCCATATTTTTAGCTGACCAATGGAATTCACTGTCAAGATTTCTGTTGTGCGAAGTCGAGTCACTGCATGAAGTGTGCTGCTGTCAGCATTGTCTGAGAAATTAAAAGAGACACTCATATCAGTCCTTTTGATTTAAAGCATGCTAGAATTAGTGCAGTAAACAAATAAGCAACTGTAAGGTTATGCCAACTATGTGCCATATACATTTTGAAAATTCAGAGTCCAAAGCTTAAGAGACTCTTAAGGGGAATGCTGATGTTGATTTACCTATTAGATAATACTGTTTACAACTTTGGGAACTGATAGCATTCTCTAAGGAACTCTAACTGGATACGGTTTACAGATATCTAGCAAAGAACTTTCTGTACTTCAGCAAAGAGATAGGGCGGGAGACCTGATCCACCATGTTCAAAAAAGTGTTTTTCATATTACTGGTGTCATATAAATTCACTTTAAAATATTGATACTTCAGGCATGCTACAATAACTTCCCAGGTAAAGACAAATGATTTTATTTTTATCCTGCATTTAAGGGGTTCTGCACTGAAGGCTACAACACTATGTTGGAATAATAGTTTAGAACTTTAGTACAGGCATCTTAACTGCCTACCTACAGTACGCACAGCTTCCTTCCGGTCCACTGTGAATACATTTATCCTCCCATCTTCACCAACTGTAAAAATTTCAGGGCTGTTGCAGACAATCCCGGTGCAGGGTGCATTTCCATGAGATGGGTCATAGAAATGTGCATTTTCCCATTTTTGGCTTACAGATAGAGTCTGAAAAACCAAAGAAAAACAATGAAAATGGGCATGTGGAAAAAATGTAATGACCAAGACTTAGAAGAGAGAGACACTGAGAGAGAAAGAGAGTCACGAACACCAGTATTTCCTCCTTGCCTGAATTTGAAGAGGAGACTGTGGGACCCCATGGGAGCTGCCAAAATGGCCTGGGGTGCCTTGTAGCTGGAATCTCAGACAAAGGCAGTAAAAGGTGACCCGTGTACTATTGATACTTGTATTCCTAATTATAAAGACAGCCCCACAAACTATCAGGATAATCACTTAAAGGAGCAACCTGAACAAGCAGCCCCAAAGTAGTACCTCAGACTTATCTTGATTGAATTCAATATAGGTTGAGTATCCCTTACTCAAAATGTTTTAGATCTGTTGTTGTTTGCAAATATGTAATGAGATCTTGATGGAACCCCAACCTAAACATGAATTTTACTTATGTGATACATACATCTTATACACACAGCCTGAAGGTAATTCTATATACAAATGTTTTAAATGATGCACATGAAACAAAGTGCATGTACACTGAACCATCAGAAAGCAAATGTGTCACTATCTCAGCTATGGATAAAGATTATTTTAGATCCTGGATTTCAGAATTTCAGATGGGTGTTCAACCTGTGCTGGCCCTAATTCAGCCCTGCAGCCAGCCACTGATGAAACACATCCACTGATGAAAAAGGAAATGGAGCTGGACATCATCCTTAAATCACTTTAAATCTCTAGATGACCTCACACAACAGTTTCACACAAATGTTGCCTAATCTCAGAAGCTTAGCATAGTTAGGAATGATTAGCACTTGAATAGAGAGGCCAACAGGTATTTCCAGATGGGGCTGGGAGAAATACGCACCTGCAGGGTTGCTGCCAGTTAGTGTTCACAATACTGGGCTAGATCAACTAATTTATATGACAGTGTTATCTGTTCCCTGTGTAATGCAGTGTAATAAAGAAAATGTAGCCCAGAGGAACCTCAAAGCACAAATGCTATGCAAGTGACAAGAAATCCCTCAATATGACCTTTAGAAAATAGCAATCTAAATACAAGCAAAGCCATTGAAAATCTATCTCCTACACACAACTTCTCAAAAAAAAAAGATAACAGCACCAATGGCAATTAAAGCTGCTGAGTGATCCAGAAAAATGAATGGAGTCACATTGTTATTGTCTCTCCTGTGATGGTGGAGAGATGGAAGCAGTTTTATTCACTAGACTAAGCAACTGAAATAGATCTGGAAAAGCCATTTAATATAAGAATATCTTGCTGTGACCTACTTGATCACCTTGCCCACAAACCAACTTTTTTCTGCCTTGTGTTTTCTTGAGAGCAAGGTAATTTTTTGTACAACAGTCAGAATAGATGAAAGCAAACCTGATTGATTTACCTGATTATTTTGATGGTGCCGAAAAACAGTCACACTTCCAGTGGATGAAGCAGCTACAATTCTTTCCTGGTCCAAAAACTAAGGACAAAATATTCAGATATGAATTCGTATTGAAATAAAGTATCAAACAGAACCAGTGTCCCATTTATAGGTTTCCTAAACAGAGATTTTTAGTTCTGCATTATTATGAGTCTCCCAATACTGTGTAACTTTAGTGACATCAATAACACAGTGCTTGGAAAGCTTTAAAGTCATTTTATAGCCTTTTACCTGCATATCCATAACATCGCCACTATGTTGAATATCACACAAAAGATGCGGTTCTGCGTTATATTCTCCATTTGTGTTCAAACTTCCCAAGTCTCCAACAGACCAAAAAGACACCTTGTTTTCCTATAAGATTACCGAGAGAGAGAGAGAATAACAAAAAAGAAAAACAACCAGGATAAGGAAAAGTTACTGCATATGAATCATAGAGTTAGAAGACACCTTGTGGGCCATCCAGTCCAACCCCCTGCCAAGAAGCAGGAAATCACATTCAAAGCACCCTCTCCCCCCACCCAGCCTCTGTTTAAAAGCCCCCAAAGAAGGAGCCACAACCACACTCTGGGCCAGAGAGTTCCACTGCTGAACAGCTCTTACAGTTAGGAAATTCTTTCTAATGTTCAGGTGAAATCTCCTTTCCTGTAGTTTGAAGCCATTGTTCTGCGTCCTAGTCTCCAGGGCAGCAGAAAACAAGCTTGCTCCCTCCTCCCTATGACTTGCCCTCATATATTTATACATGGTCATCATGTCTCATCTCATCCTTCTCTTCTGGAGGCAAAACATGCCCAGCTTTTTAAGCCGCTTCTCACAGGGTTTGTTCTCCAGACCCTTAATCATTTTAGTCACCCTCCTCTGGACACACTATTCCAGATGGAATACCAAGGCAGAATACAGGGGTAGCATGACTTCCCTGGATCTAGACCAGGGGTCCTCAAACTAAGGCCCAGGGGCCGGATACAGCCCTCCAAGGTGATTTACCTGGCCCTCGCTCAGGGTCTGAAACTACTTGAAAGCAAACAACAACAACAACAACCCTATCGCATCAGCCAAAAGCAGGCTCACAACTTCCCATTGAAATACTAATGAGTTTATATTTGTTAAAATTGTTCTTCATTTTAATTATTGTATTGTATTGTTTTAAAGTGTTTTTTGCACTACAAAGTGTGCATAGGAATTTATTCATGTTTTTCCCCCCAAATTATAATCCGACCCTCCAACAGTTTGAGGGACTGTCACCTGGCCCTCTGTTTAAAAAGTTTGAGGACCCCTGATCTAGACACTACACTAGAATGGCCTAAACCAGGCATGGGCAAACTTGGACCCTCCAGGTGTTTTGGACTTCGACTTCGGCTGCGAGGAATTGTGGGAGTCGAAGTCCAAAACACCTGGAGGGCCCAAGTTTGCTTATGCCTCTTCTATATTACAGAATTAATGCATTGGCCCACTTTAATTGCCATGTCTCGGTGCTATGGATTCATGGGAGTTGTAGTTCGGTGAAGGCCCGACCTCTCCCATGGCCTTGCCAAGCTCCACCTCCCAGGCCTCACCTCGTTGTCCCAGGATCCCGTGGCGAAGACCTCCGGGGGCTGGAGGGCAGCGGGAGGGAGGGGCCGCCAGCGGGTCTTGCTGACTTTCTGGGAGACATATCGGGCCAAGACCTCCTCCATGCTTCGCCGCCAGAGACAGGCTCCTTCCTTCCTTCCCGCCGCAGCCGAGGCCCTCCCCCCGGCTTGCATGCGCCCCTTTCCTATTGGACGGCGAGTACCACGTGAGACGGCAACCCACAAAGGTCAATACTCTCTACTGGGAAGGCTGCTGGAACGGACTCTGTTGGCTGTGTTGTCGCAGGCTTTCATGGTCGGAATCAATGGGTTGCTGTGAGTTTTCCGGGCTGTGTGGATATGTTCCAGAAGCATTCTCTCCTGACTTTAATGTCCAGGGTGGGAGAAAGAACTCTTGCCTGCTTGAGGCAAGTGTGAATGTTGCAATTGGCCACTTTGATTAGCATTTAATGGCCTTGCAGCTTCAAAGCCGGTTTGGTTGCTGCCTGGGGGATCCTTTGTTGGGAGGTGTTAGTTGGCTCTGATTGATTCTTGTCTGGAATTCCCCTGTTTTTTGAATGTTGCTTTTTATTCACTGTCCTGATTTTTTAAAATACTGGTAGCCAGGTTTTGTTCATTTTCATGGTTTCCTCCTTTCTGTTGAAATTGTTCACATGCTTGTGGATTTCAGTAGCTTCTCAGTGTAATCTAACATGGTAGATGTTAGTAGTCCAGCATTTCTGTGTTCTCAAATAATATGCTGTGTCCATGCTGGTTTCTTCAGGAGAGAATGCTTCTGGAACATGGCCATACAGCTTGGAAAACTCACAGCAACCCAGACTCTGTTGGTGTTTTCACCAATTAAGTCTATTCAGAAAGACCAAAACGACAAGGGCTGCAACTACACTGCAGATTTCATGCAGTTTACCTGTCATGAATGACTCAATGCTATGGCATACTGACTGTGAAATGTAGAAGGGAAATAAATTAGAGAGGAGAGGGGTGCAGGAGCCACAAAGGAGGTAATAGAGAAGATGAGCAAGTCAAGAAATAAAGTCTGTTTTTGGACGAGGCCCCATCTATACTGCCAGTTTGAACTGCATTATAATGGTCAGTGTGCACTCCTATAATGCAGATTGAACCACATCGAACTGGAGTCTACACTGCCATATAATCCAGTTCAATGAAGTTAATCTGCCTTCTGAAACTAGACTATATGGCAGTGTGGATAGGGCCATGGACTAACAAGTGGGATGAATGGGAGCTTCTTGGGACTGGCAAAGGCCTTTATGGCATAGTCATATCTGTCCCAATTTGGCAGGCAGGGTCTCGTTTAATTCTATGCTGTCCCGTTTTCCTAGCATATTTTTAAGAGGTTTCTCTTTTTTCCCCAGACAGCCACTTAATCCAGAGTAAGGAAGTGGGATTAAAATCCGGTTACCTTAAAGAGAGTCCACACATGAAGTCATTAGTCCTTGGAAATGGTCTCGTGGTGCCCAGAAAGGTTTGGCTAACGTGGAAGCAAGGCAACCGCCAAAGCTACAGGAGAGCTGCCAAAAGTTCTTTCACCTTTTTTTGTTAATGACTCTCTGAGATATGCTGCTCCTCATAGGCATTTTGCCAATAGTTATGAGTGCTAATGCGCTGATGTGGATATAACAAAGTGTACACAAGCAGATTTCTTGTCATCGGGAGAGTTCTTTCCTGAACATGGCCATACAGCCTGGAAAACCCACCGCAACCCAATGATTCCTGCCATGAAAGCCTTCGACAACACATTGTCATTGTCCCTCCTCACCCTCCTGGTGCCTTTAAGTTTGCTCTCTTGAACACCGTTTCCCTTTGGGGTCACTAAGATTACTGTATGACGCGAATTGTATGTGCACCCTAATTTTGGCACGGTAATTTAGCCCAAAAAGGTGAGTGTTAAGACTCAAGTAAATATGGTACAGTATATGCAAAGTTAGGTTTCCATTTGAGAAGAGGTTGTTCTCTACAGATACATAGATACATACATATGTTGCACTTGTTTCTTAAACCTAAAACACATTTCCCGAGTTCCCCAAGTGATACTTGGAGCATCCTATCATGCAGTACCACAAATTTGTCGTTGTTTATTCGTTCAATCATTTCTGACTCTCCATGACCTCATGGACCAGGCCTCACCAGAGTTTCCTGTCGGCCGTCACTACCTCCAGCTCCTTCAGAGTCAAGCCAGTCACTTCAAGGATACCAACAATCCATCTTGCCTTTGATCGACCCCTCTTCCTTTTTCTTTCATTTTTCTCCAGGATCATTATCTTTCCTGTCTTCTCATTATGTGGCCAAAGTAGCATACTTCATCTTTGCCTCTAATATCCTTCCCTCCAGAGAGCAGTATGGACTGTTTTGATCATCTTGAGGTCCAAGACACTCTCAGAATTTTTCCTCCAGCACCAGTACCACAAATACATTAAAATTAAAATTATAATTTAATTCAAAATTTAGGTTATGGTTATATATTTTTTTCTCTACAGGCCAAATGCATATGTGGGCTCTACATCTGGGACATACAGGGTTTAAGCTTCAAATAACCACTTTAGCTACTATAGTAGAGTCTCACTTATCCAACCTTCACGCATCCAGCGCTCTGTATTATCTAATGCAGTCTGCCTAATGCCTGGATCCACAGCTGTTTCAATACATTGCGATGTTTTGGTGCTAAATTCGTAAATACAGTAATTAAAACATAACGTTAGCGTGTATTGAACTGCTTTTTCTGTCGATTTGTTGTAAAACATGGTGTTTTGGTACTTAACTTGGAAAATCATAACATAATTTGACATTTAATAAGCTTTTCCTTAATCCCTCTTTATTATCCAACATTTTTGCTTATCCAACATTCCACTGACCTGTTTATATTACATGTAATATTACAGTATAGTGGTATAGTACAATATAGTAATATATAATGCTAATTTTGTGCTATGCTAATAATATAATATATTGTATGTACAAATAACTTGTAAGCCACTCTGAGTCCCCTTCGGGGCAGGGTATACATGTAGTAAATAAATAAATAATAAGCAAGACTCTATTGTAATACTGTTTCAGAATGCAGATCAACTGCATTGAACTGGATTACATGGCAGTGTAGACTCATAAAATCCAGTTCGGTGCAAATAATCTGCATTCTGAAACTACATTATATGGCATAATAATAATAACAACAACCTTATTTTTATACCCCGCCAACCATCTCCTTTTGGGGACTTGGGGTGGCTTACAAGGGACAAGCCCAACAATTACAAATAAAACACAATCAATTAAAAACATCAGATAACATACAGAAACAATCACAATTGTAAACAACATCAGAATAATATGGCTGAGAAAGAACATAGCTGCGGTTCAGGCTCCATGAATGGAGTACAAACTTGAAGGGAGCACAAGGGTTTTCATTTCATTTCATTTATTTTATTATCAAGTGTAATAATCAAGTAGACAGGGCTGGGAATAGTGTCATCAAAAGTGTTGAGGTAGGGCGCTAAAAGGGCCGGCGTAAAGTGCTAAACTTAAGTTAGGGACAGGGAAAATTACTGGTGGACTGCCTAATCAAAAGCACGCTGGAACATCCAGGTTTTTAGTTCTGTCTGGAAAGAGGACAAAGTAGAAGCCTGTCTGATCTCCCTAGGGAGGGAGTTCCAGGGCCTGGGGGTCACCATCGAGAAGGCCCTCTCCTCATCCCCACCAACTGTGTTTGAGACAGCAGAGGGAGAGAGAGCAGTGCCTCCCTGGATGATGTCAAGGTGCGTGCTGGTTCATAAAGATGCGATCGTGGAGATAAGTAGGTCTCGAACCGTTTAGGGTAGTGGTTCTCAACCTGGCGTCCCCAGATGTTTTTGGCCTACAGTTCCCAGAAATCCTAACAGCTGGTGAACTGGCTGGGATTTCTGGGAGTTGTAGGCCAAAAACATCTGGGGACCCAAGGTTGAGAAGCACTGGTTTAGGGCTTTATAGGTAATAACCTGCGCCTTGAATTGGGACCGGAAACTTATTGGAGCTGTTTAAACCAGTGGAGCTGTTTAAACAGGAGGGTGGATCGCTCCCTGTAACCAGCTCCTATAAGTAGTATGGCCGCAGATCTTTGGACCAACTGTAGCTTCCGGGCCGTCTTCAAGGGCAACCCCACGTAGAGCGTGTTGCAGTAATCCAATCTAGAGGTGACTGGGACATGGACCACCATGGCCAAATCAGATTTAACTTCGTTTGTTTACCGCCCTATCTCCCCAAAGGGACTCAAGGCGGGTTCCAACATATAAGGCAAAACATTCCATTGCCAAGAAGAAAATAATTCAGACAGATTAAAATAAAAGCAGCATCAAACACACAAATCCTACTAAAACACAACAATAAGACTCTACTAAGGGCACACATTATTTTTTTTGGGGGGGGCACCTATATTTAGTTAGGGATCAAGAGCCCCCTTCAAAGACTCTCGCTCCTTCACTTCAGCTCCTTCATCTCCCTCATGTGGTCGGCGAAGGCGCCCCCCGCGCTGTGTTTCCCCGCCAGCCCCTTTGGCGCTCCCCTCTGCGCCTGCGCACACCGGCGGCAGCGGCGGGGGCGGCGGGTGCCCGTCGCGAGGGCCGTTGAGAATGTGGCGCGCGCGGGGGGGCGAGGGAACGGCCCTTCCCTCCGGCGGGCGCGCGGCGGTAGCAGCAGCAGCAACAGCGGCGGCGAGGAGGGGAGGGAGGGCGGCGGCGGAGGAGGAGGAGGCGGCGCCTGTCTCGGCGCTGGAGGTTGTGTCCTTCCTGGGCAAGCTCCTGTGCGCAGTCGCGGCGCTGAAGGCGGCTCTCTACCTGCTCCGCAGAATCTGCCTCGCCATGGCCTGGAAGTCAGGAGGCGCCAGCCACTCCGAGCTCATCCACAACCTCCGCAGTGAGTGAGCGAGCGAGCGAGCGAGCGAGCGCGCGCCCGGCCCGCCCGCCCGCCTGTCTATAGGGATCTCTGTGTGGGTGTCCGCGTGCGCGCTGGCCTCCTGAAGGGGGCGGGGGAGGGAGGGAGAGAAAGAAGGGAGTGGGAGATTGAGAGGAGGGCTGGGGGAAGGAGGGAGKGGCTAGGGCGCGCGCCGGCCATTCATAGGCCATTAGCGCGCGAGCACACACACACACATATATATACTTCCCCGCGCGCGCGCGCGCGCACTTCTCGCACGCGCCACTCCCCCCCCCTCGCCAAAAAAAAAAAAAAACGTCGCTAGGGAGTAGCTGTTGCGTCGTCGGCCCTCGCCTTGGAGGCAGTTGGAGATCGAACGCGGGGGAAAGTGCGCGCGGGGGAGCGGGGGGGGGGGAGGAGGAGCTGTTCTTCCTCCTCAGGAAAGGGCGCACGCGCAGGCACCCAGCTCATTTTTATCGAGGACCTCGTCAGTGTTGTTGTTATTATGGATACCTTCAAAGGAAGAGTCGAGAGAATCCGTGGAATTCGTGGATACAGAGAGCTAAATAGGCATATATATTATATAGTGGTCGGGGTTTCTAAATGACCCCCCCCCCGACTGGGGATAATGGGAATTGCAGCCCAGCAGCCCTTATGGCTCTGAGGTTGTGGGGAAAGGGTCAAAGGACCAAGGCATTGACATCATCGGCCCATCCTCTGTTCGGATATCAGCCACCATGACAACGTCTTAAATCAAGAAACAGCTTCCTAAGATCGAGAGAGATTCGCGCAGGAACACCTCAGCAAGCGAGAGTCCAAAAGTGGCAGGCTAAAACCCAGCACTTCAGTCAGTCCCTGAAGCTGGATGAGAAACTCCCTCCTGGGCACACAGAAGATGACCCATAACAGGCTGTTTTCTAGCACCACAAGATGCAGAGTTAACTTTAAGAAATGGGGCAAAAAAAGTGGAGCCCACAACATGCGAATGTGGAGAAGAGCAAACCACAGACCACCTATTTATTTATCTATTTATGACATTTCTACCCTGCCTTTCTCACCCTGGAGGGGACTCGAAATGGCTTTACATATTTGCAACAATTCAATGCCTGAAAACACAGTGTACACTTAAATAAATATTAAAATGGAATTTAAAAGTACATTAAAATATTCAAAAACAATACATTAAGAGTTAAATGCATAATCCACGAGCATAATCCGGGCCGTTCCAATGGTCATTGCACATTGTTCCAAGTCTATCTTTTGCACAAGTTCTTTAAAGGCTTAGTCACAAAGCCATGTTTTCACTCTCTTGTGGAAGGTCAGAAGGGAGGGGGCTAATCTAACATTGCTGGGGAGGCAGTTTAACAGTCTAGGGGCCACAACTGAGAAGGCCCTGTCTCTTGTCTCTGCTAATCGAACCTGAGATGGTGGGGGACGGAGAGCAGGGCCTTCCCAGATTATCTTAAACTCCACAGTGGTTCATAGAGGGAGATACGTTTGGACAGATAAGCTGAGCCAGAACCATAAGCTGGCTGCCATCCGTTCCACCATTTGTAGCTTCCAAACAGTCTTCAAAGGCAGGCCCATGTAGAGCGCTTTGCAGTAGTCTATTCAGGATGTAACCAGAGCGTGGACTACTGTGGCCGAGTCTAACTTCCCAAGGTATGGGCGCAACCTGCGCACAAGTTTTAATTGTGTGAATGCTCCCCTGGCCACCGCTGAAACCTGGGGTTTCAGGCTCAGCGATGATGAACTCCCAAACTGCGAACCTGTGTCTTCAGGTTCACCTACTACAATCAACCTGAGCCCTGCCACATGCACAATGGAGGACCTTCTCACAGCGACACCAGAGGCACTCCATGTGGCCAACTTCTGGTCAAAGGACATTTTGCATAATGCCAAGTTATTTTTTAAAACTTTGTGTTTTGAAATTCGTTTTAATGGTACCATCAGCTTGCTTCTGTCACAATAAATAAATAGTCCTTTTGGCTCTGAGGCTAGGGGGAAAGGGTCAAAGGACATTTTAGGGTCAGGCGTCCTCTCCACAAGCCTTGTATCTCTACTCCAACCCAGGATCCTGACTGAACAGAACAAACTGCAGCTTTCCAAATGTTATTGCAGCACAATTCCCATCAGCTCTAGTCATGATGTCTAAGAATGGGTAATACAGGAGTTGTCGCCCAGCATCTGGAGCAACTTGGGCCTTCCAGGTGTTGTGGACTTCAACTCCTACAATTCCTAACAGCCTCAGGCCCCTTCCTTTTATCTAATAAGAAAATTCCTCAGCTTAACACTCCAAGCCATGTAATTGTCAGCTTTTAAATGCTCAAATGGCAAACTTGACCTATGTTGTACTATGTTGTAACACAAAACAAAAAAAACACACATTTTAAAGAGTGCTCTTGTTCCGGTTTTCTACTGGGCCCATAACCTAGGGAAAGGAAAAAGGAAGAGGCCAGACACTGTTTGTTTATTTATTTATTTACTATATTTCTATACCGCCCTCCTCAGCCCGAGGGCGACTCAGGGCGGTTTAGGAATTGTGGGAGTTGAAGTCCACAACACCTGGAGGGAGGGCTTAAGTTGGCCCGTTCCTTATCTGGAGGACCACAACAAATGACGGGGGGGGGGGGCAGATGTAGGTTGCAGCCCTTGAGTTTGATACAGGGGCATGAAAGGGTCAAAAGCTGAGCAGGCTCCCATTATTAATGGCAGCTGTCAAAAAAGGGCTCCAGTCGTTTCCTATGGAGCTTTTACAGAAAGAGCAGGCAGGCAGAAGGAAGGGGAAAACAGCTGACTCAGTCCTCCTCTCCTGGAGTCCCTCTGCCTATATTATGCCTGCCTCCCTCCTGCTATGGGGCGGCACCACTGTAATTTTCCAGCCACTCCTGATTCCCTGGCTCTCCAAAGCTGCCCGCTTTCCAGATTTTCCGCCTTTCAGGAACATTTCACTTTCAAGTTGAGCGTGTGGCATTTGAATGGTGCTGGGAGAATGCAGCAGCTGCCCTTCTTTCACCAGCTCTTATGCAACCCTCTTGGGGGGACTCTCCTCCCTTGAGCTGTGTCCTGATCTTAGGCTGCCGGGAAGCCCCCCCCCCCCCAATTTTCCTGCACCGTTGCCATAATAAGGAAGCTGAACAGAATGGGGATAGTGATATATTCCGGTTGACTGATTTTAGAGCAGGCATGGGCAAACTTCGGCCCTCCTTCCAGGTGTTTTGGACTCAAGCAGCTTAAGTGCCTGAGGTGAACAAGAAAAAGGCCTGTGCCTGTTCGGAATTGTGAGAATTGAAGTCCAAAACACCCCAAAGGCCAAAGTTTCCCCTTGTCTGGTTTATAGTTTTAAAGGTAACGGGCCATAATCTGTTGGTTTTTTTGTTAGGCACACACACACATCTCCATTAGTATTTTTGGCTCTTGTGCAGTAGTGTCAAACAGGATTGTGTTTGTTTCTAAAGCTTGCAGACCATCTCTAAAACTGTTTTGGCTAACTAGATTTTAGATTAAATAAAAGCTATAATGTTTTTCTGGTGGCTGCTTCTTATGAAAGAACGAGATTATTATGCTTCTTATGAAAGAACGAGATCTCACAAGCCACAACAGCACTATTATCACCATCATTACCATTGTAGCTATTTATATCTCACTTTTAGTTCTTTACCGGAACCCCCGGTGGCACAGCAGGTTAAACCAGTGAGCTGCTGAAGTTGTGGTTTGAATCTGGGGAGCAGGATGAACTCCTGCTGTTAACCCAAGCTTCTGCCAACCCAGCAGTTTGAAAACATACAAATGTGAGCAGATCAATAGGTACTGCTTCAGCAGGAAGGTGACAGCTCTCCATGCAGTCATGTCAGCCACATGACCTTGGAGGTGTCTACGAACAAAGGCTGGCTCTTTGGCTTAGAAATGGAGATGAGCACTACCCCCCAGAGTCGGACACGACTAGACTTAATATCATGGGGAAACCTTTACCTTTTACCTTTAGTTCTTTAATTGTGACACAAAGCACTGAAATGAGCTGTTCTGTTTAAGTATCAGTCAAGTGAGAATATTTGTGCTCCATGAAGTGTTATGCAGGTGAAGATGTAAGTTGGCCTTTGATAGTCACTGGGGTTTGGTGCCAGCATCCACTGTATATACAAAAGTCTTGGATGTTCAGGTCGTGTTGTTTACAGTGGCACAATAAAATGGGGTGTTTTATATAAAATAACAAAATCAAGCTTTGGTCCTTTGGCTCAAAAATATATTTCCAAGCCATGATTCATTGAATCTGTGGATATAGATTCCATGGATACAGAGGGCTGACTTCTTTGTTTATAGATCTGTGTCAGAAATCAGTTGCATCATCATCTGTTTTATTCTTGTTCCAAAGCCAGTTTCAGTATCCTGTTTTCTTGTCCGGATGGTACAGGAATGTAGAGGGGTCAATATAGGATAGTTTCATAAAGAAAGTAGACAGTTTTAAAGAGTACATGTGATAGTGGTCTTTGTTTTTGCAGACTTTATGTTGTATAGGATTTATCTTATTTCCAAAACATGTATTTTTTCTTTATTTTTAAAGGTGAATGTATCAGTGGCCAACAACTGTTTGGGTCAAAATATATTGTGAAATAATGATAAATAGTAGCTTAATAAAAGCTATATAAAATGCAGTAAAATTCTAAAAATAATTCACACCCAATTTAAAAGGGAAAAAAGAATCTTTCTTAGTTACTGAATGTTTCAAGTTTTTTTTTCTTGTTCAAACCTATGCAGTTGTGAACCAGCACTTTTGGACATGTAGCAGAATTGCTTGTTTTAAATGATTCTTGAGAACATTGGTTTCTGGAAAGGAGTAACAACAGTAGCCTTATATTTATGTATTCTGAATTTTTATTCTTGATGTTTCAGGGGGAAAGAGCTAAAAGCCACCATAGTTTATTAATGAGATACTTCACTTAGATTAGTGTTGTTATTTCTTTTAGGGCATTATTTCTGCAACAGAAATATGTATTGTGCTTGTAAGGAGACTATACTGTAGTGTGGAGTTTTCATTTATTTTTTTATGGCACTAAATGATGTCATGAAAAGCTTTGGAAATGTTACATAGACATTGTATTGCTTTGAAGGTCCTGAATAACATTTTTAATGTAATTCTCTCTCTGAACACAATGTGAATGTGGTAAAATTAAAAAGCCAACATCCTGAATGTGTTGTTATGAAATGAAAGAACTAATTGAGCATATTGAAAGGCAAGCGTATAAACTTTTGTGAACTATGCTAGTAGTTAACAGTAATGAAATGGGAACAAAACTGGATATAAAGGATAGTAGTGTAGACTGTGAACTCCCGCTGTTAGCCCCAGCTTCTGCCAGCCTAACAATTTTAAAAATGCAAATGTGAATAGATCAATAGGTACCACAATATAAACTGTTCTCCAGGTGTTTTGGACTTCAGATCCCACAATTCCTAACAGCTGGTAAGATGGCTTGGATTTCTGGTAGATGAAGTCCCAAACACCTGGACGAGCACAGTTTGAGAAACACTGATTCAGACATATTCATTTAAAATTCAGCGTAACATCAAATGGTTAATGTTTTGTTGGTTTTCTAAAGATTCTTTGTACTGTTGATAATGTGAAATAACTCTGTTTCAAATTTTGGCTTTTTTTTCTTTCAGAAAATGGAATAATAAAATCAGATAAAGTATTCGAAGTAATGCTTGCAACAGACCGTTGCCATTATGCAAAATGTAACCCATATATGGATTCTCCTCAATCAATAGGTATGATAACTATATATCCAGTATATTTATCTGTGTGAAAGCTCTATTTTCTTACAGACGTTTTACTGTGATGTTGTCCAGAATATGAAAAGATATGGGGACTAAATGTGGTGGATCCTCTGGCCTTAAGTGTCAGCCAAGTTTGTTCAGGAAATGAGGAGTACTATATTTATTAAATATAGCCGTGTTTTATCTACTCAAGACAGAGATACAATGAGCCCACCAACAGATGCATCCTACATGAGCTGTGAAGGATGATAAGTTGTTGCAAGGAAAGCAATTCATTCTAAGAAAGTCTGAACTGCAAAAGCTTGTCCAGCTTGAAGAAAGAGGGATACCTCTAGTTTGGCCCCTTTGGTCCAGGATAGATTTACAGCATGTGAAGGAAAAGAATGCACATTTGGAATATAAAATATAGCCAATCTAGTAAATGTAGACTATGATGTATCATAAAAGTGCTGCAAAAGAGAATCTAAGACTATTTTGGTTAAGTATTATTATGGCATCTATAAATACATACAATCATTTTGGAAAAAACTTTACAGGCTAGCCTTAAGAAAGAAGAGGGAAATAATTCCCGTTTGTGTGTCCTAAATTAAACACAATGTTCATTTTACAAACTCAAGTGACAGCTGTAGTTCAGAGTACAAGTTAGACAGTTACAGCATTTGTTAAAGAAGAGATTTGATAGTCATATATACTAATGTGATTTCTTGGATTTACAATTGCATTGTATTTCCTAAAAAGTATCCCATTCTAATTATATAGAAAGTCTGTTTTGAGAAAAATGCATATCTGTCCATCAGCTTCTGAAAACAATTCAGAGTGCTCTTGTGCACACATGGACATACAGATATTTATATTTTAATTTAATATTTTTAGAGCAAGAATTGTCATTTAGACATTTTAGCAAAAATTGGCTTTCGCTATAGATTTTCTATCATGAAACAAAGAGTCTTATCATTATACTTAACTCAGATTTTGGTGATTTTGGTTTGAGTGGTGGGGCAAAGAGGAGCCTTCTTCCCTTGAACATACAGGAGAAGAACAATATATTGGCTAGGACATTTTGACAAACTATTCTACTATCAGAAAGTTGGCTTGAGTCGCAAGGCCAAACAGGGTATAGGGTTACAGCCTGTGTTAGACGGGGTTGCACTCCCCCTGAAGACACAGGTTCGCAGTTTGGGTGTGATCCTGGCCTCATCGCTGAGCCTGGATCCCCAGGTTTCGGCAGTGACCAGGGGAGCATTCGCACAGTTAAAACTCGTGCGCCAACTGCGACCGTACCTTGGGAAGTCTGACTTGGCCACGGTAGTCCACGCTCTGGTTACATCCCGTCTTGACTACTGCAACGCTCTCTACGTGGGGTTGCCTTTGAAGACGGCCCGGAAGCTCCAACTGGTCCAGCGTGCGGCAGCCATGTTACTAACAGGAGCGGGAGGCAGGGAGCATACAAAGCCCTTGTTGTACCAGCTCCATTGGCTGCCGATTTGCTACCGGGCTCAATTCAAGGTGCTGGCACTGGCCTATAAAGCCCTAAACGGTTCCGGCCCCAACATATCTATCCGAACGTATCTCAGCCTATCAGCCCACCAGGACCCTAAGATCTTCAGGGGAGGCCCTGCTCTCTATCCCACCTGCTTCACAGGTGCGGCTGGCGGGAACGAGAGACAGGGCCTTTTCTGTGGTGGCCCCTCGGCTTTGGAATGCCCTCCCCATAGAGATAAGATCAGCCTCCTCGCTGATGGTATTTCGAAAAAGACTGAAGACATGGATGTTTGAACAAGCATTCGGCTAATCCGATGCAATGAAGTTGATGATCAAGGACTGGTAACCACAGACGATGAAATTGGATTATGATTTTAGTTAAGAGATGCATTGGTTTGTATTGGTGGCCCAATACTGTGTATTGTGTATGTGTTTTTATGCTTTTTAAATTGAATATTGTTGATTATTGTAGTGTTGTAAACCGCGTTGAGTCGCCAATGTAGGCTGAGAAACGGCGGTATACAAGCGCAGTAATAAATAAATAATATATATCCTGAGGCATCTTTCCCTCTATGAATCCTCAATCCATTGAAGTTTGTGTTTGTTAATTGTTTTTCCAGCAGTGAGAGAATGAATTTGGGAGGGGGGTAAATTTATGAATTCAGTCCCTAGAGAAACGTATCAGAGCCACAAGCTATTCTTTATGGATTTGTTTTTTCTTCTTCTATTACCTCTTGATCTTTGCCAGGCAGGAAAGAAAAATAAGGTAGAAAAATTGGATTTTGTGCAATTATGCAAATTATATTGAATATATTAATACAAATGTTAAGGTTTCTTGCTCCAGTGAATTATGATCTCTAGTATACATTTTATTTGATTATGATAATTTTAAAACTTTTAAAGAAGTTTTCAAATGCTAGTTGCAGTTTCATTTTAATTGTTCCTATGAAGCCATGCAGAAATTTGGAAGTTGTTAAAGTGACTCTTTCTTTTAACTCACTAATTGGATTTCATGGGAAAGTGATCATGTTGAGCGGCAAGCTGTTTTCAGCTGTGTAAATAAGCTATCTGCATTTTCTGTATCCAGATAACACAGACTGAGTGTCCCTTATCTGAAATGCTTGGGACCAGAAGCGTTTAGGATTCCAGGTTTTTTTTTGTTCTGGAATGCCTGTAGTTGTCTATATGTACATATTCTTCAAACAGTATTCTGCTTTTATACAAAAATGTATTTGTTGTTTTGCTGCCACAGTTTTAAACTAACATTGAACTGGATTAAATGGTGAAGTTGAAATAGAAATTTAAAAAGACAATGGAAGCAATCCACTGAAGAACTATATAAAAGATTGGCATGTCTACCCAGCATTTCCTGGGTGTTGGAAGGTCTGCTGTCCTCCTATTTGCATTCTTTCTTTCCTTTTCCCTCCCCTTATACTTTCTCCCCTTTTCTTTCCCTCCCTACCCCTCCCCCCCTCCATTTCTTCGCTCTCCCTTCCTTCTCCTTTCCCTTCTTTTTCTCCTTCCATCTTTCTTTCATCCCCTTTCTCCCTTCTCCAGCTCTGAGAAAGCTTCACACTGTCACCATGACAATATGATCTTCCTTCCTCACTTCCCCTCTTACACATGTCAGCTTTCTTTACCAGTGACATCACAGAGAGGCACTTCACCTAGCAACAACCAGTCCTTCACCTAGCAAAGGCCAATTCAATGATATAAGAAGGGGGCACTGGATTGGCATTTAGCAACAGCCTTTGTGGTACAGACAGACATCCTTTGACTTTTAGATAGATAGATAGTAAAGGAAGACAGATTCATTCAAGAAAGAACCATTTGAAGATAGTTTATTGTTTATTCTGCAATAAAGATTTTTACCCTATATGAAGCAAAGAATGCCGGATGTCCAAACTCGATTTAGGAAAGAAACACACAAGGGATCATACTGCAAACATACATTCAGCAATTGAGTGCAAATAATTAATCATGTAGAAGATCATAAAAAACTATGGACCACTGTTAAAAAAGTGGGTGTGTCACAACATTTGGTTGTTCTAGTGTGTAACTTATACTCAGGCTACCATCAATATGCAATATGGAGAAACAGAATGGTTTCCAATTGGCAAAGGGGTCTAACAATGCTGAATTTTATCACACTGTTTAATGTTTTTGCCAAAAATATCATGATAAAGCCAGGAAAACTGGAGGAATGTCAGCAACTTAAGATATGTAGATGATACCATACTGTCATCAGAAAATAGTACAGAATTGGAGGATTACTGAAAAAGTCAAAGAATGTGCAAAGGAGGGTTTACAGTTAAACGTTAAGAAGATACAAATAATGTTCACAGATAATTTGCATACCTCTAAAGTGAACACTTATGCAACTGAAATACTTTAAAGATTTTCCATTCCTTGGCTCAGTCATTAATGGGGACTACATTCAGGAAATCAGAGGAAAAGAAGAGATCTGCATTCCAGATGGATGGACTCAATCAAAGAAGGTTTAGTCTTGAATCTGTGGAATCTGTGCAGGGCTGTTGGAGATGGGATGATGTAGAGCAGGAGTCCTCAAACTAAGGCCCAAGGGCCGGATAGGCCCTCCGAGGTGATTTACCCGGCCCTCGCTCAGGGTCAACCTAAGTCTGAAATGGCTTGAAAGCACACTACTACTACAACAATCCTATCTCATCAGCCAAAAGCAGGTCCACACTTCCCATTGAAATACTAATAAGTTTAAATTTGTTTAAATTGTTTTTCATTTTAATTATTGTTGTTTTTTGCACTACAAATAAGATATGTGCAGTGTGCATAGGAATTCATTCATGTTTTTTTTTCAAATTATAATCTGGCCTTCCAACAGGTTGAGGGACTGTGAACTGGCCGTCTGTTTAAAAAAAGTTTGAGGACCCCTGATGTAGAGGATTGCCATAAGTTGAAGTTGATTTGATGTCAATTAAAAACAGTTAACAAAAAACAATAACAATACATATAATCCAGTAAAACCACCATATTGTGGTTTTAATCTAAACCATGTGGCTTTATATTCCTTTTAATAGGAATAAAATAGGATGCAGACCTTTGTCTGAAACTTTACATTTCTTCTCCACTACACTTAAGAGTAGCTGTAACTTGAATGAGCTCTTTCTGATTTTCAACATATTTCACCACAAAACATGTTAAAATACTATATTTCATACAATATAGCAAAAACATAATTTAAGAATCCATTTAATGTATTCATTTTTACCAATAAAGTTACTGAAAATAAATTTAAGAAATTCTTAAATATGCATAGGTTATGCCAGTAAAATCTTGAAATCACCTAAGAGTGAACTGTGTATTTCTTGGGAAGTTAACTGGAGTTGTCAAAAAGTCACTGGGTTCTTCAGAACTGACAAGAGTCTGAATGCTGGAAATTGAAAAAGCAATTGACTTTTTGACAGCTCCAGTTAACTTCCCAAGAAATACACAGTTAATGGCACTTCTGCACTCCAGTGTTGCTGTTACTTCTCTTGTGTTAGGTTCACTCTTTCGTGATTTCAAGATGTTACTGGTATAGCCTGTGCATATGAATAGACAGATACATAGTGCTATATGAAACAGCATGATCAAATCATAGAATCCCTGTCATTAGGCATTGCGTCTTAAGATGAAATAATTAATATTACATAATACTGTTGTTTAGCACTAATAGCTATGTTAGTGATTTGCATTGTTCATTTTTATGTTAGACTGTGGATAATTGTGACTTATTGTTTTTCATTCCTTCAGTTTGTTGGTTCATATTTGCTTTTTATGATATCTGCATTTTAAATATGATATGTGGCTCACAAAACATTTGAGTATTCATATGTGTGATTTACTCAGATTTTTCCTTTGCTCCTCAGGATTTCAAGCAACAATTAGTGCTCCACACATGGTAAGTATAAATTTTATATATGAAATGTCAGCAATCTGATTATTTTCAAGTTTTCTCTGGTTAGCATTCTTTATTTTGGAAGCTTGTAAAGGCTAGGCTTTTATCATTCATTAATTATCTCATTCTTGCAACCCATACATTGTTGCATTTCTTATGTAACCTTCATGCATTTCCAATAAATGCTGTCTTCTTCCTCATCTATAGTCGATCAAAATTTGATACTGTTATATAATGTTATTTGATTGATAACTCTAGGAATCCTTCATTTGAAAGTACATATAAGTCTTGTGGCACTCTAAACATTAACAGATGTATTGCAATATTATAGACTAGGTCTGGAGGCTTTTAGATTCAGTCAAGGAGGTGAGAGCTCCAAGTTTGCAGGAGCTATTAATTACAGGATTCCATGGAGGTTTCTTATTCATGACTTGATGGTAGTTAACAACAAGAAACACCCCCATGCTGATTTCAGCTATGTTTTGTTAGGTTCTTAAAATATTATTATTTTTCAAGTTAATAAGTTCAGGCATGTCTTACTGAAGGAAAGGTAACTTTGAAAGCAAGAGTTCCAGAATCGCTTATGGAGCTAAATGGGTAGGTGGTTGGGGGAAGATCATATAAGCAGGAAAGCATGGTGATAAATAGAGGGCCATAAGAGCACCTGGCAAAATTCAAAAAGGAAAGGTATAAATCAGGGAGTTGCTGACTCCATGGAGAGCTTATAGATATGCATTTGAACTAGACTTGTCCCACTAGTACTCTAACTTCTTGCTCTTTTCTGTTAGATCGACTGAGCTGCTGCTAAACTCTGATGCGTATCTCTTCTTCCCCTTTGCTTACTTTCTAACTTTCCTACCTCAGTGGGTTGTTGTAGGTTTTTTCGGGCTGTATGGCCATGTTCTAGAGGATTTCTCTCCTGACGTTTCGCCTGCATCTATGGCAAGCATCATCAGAGATTGTGAGGACCTCACAGCCTCTGAGGATGCTTGCCATAGATGCAGGCGAAATGTCAGGAGAGAATGCCTCTAGAACATGGCCATACAGCCCGAAAAAACCTACAACAACCCAGTGATTCCAGCCACGAAAGCCTTCGACAATACATCTTCCTACCTCACCCCTTCAGTTATATTTCTTCATTTTATATGCTTCTTTATTTTCTTTTTAGTAGTATATTAAATAGTTGCTTCAGTGTTGTGGCAACTTCCTGATCCTTTTTGTGTTTCTAATGCTACAGCTAGAAGCATTATTTCAAATGAGAGTTACTTAGCTGAGCAGAAGAGTATTGCCCCTTTTAGAGGAAGTCCTGCATTTGTGTGCACATATTTTCTCTCTCCCCTCACAGTCTTTTGATTGGATAATATTGAGATGTCATTAATTTTCTCTTTGCTTTTTTTCTGAAAAATAACTGTGTTACATTTAGTAAGGGAAGATGAGAGAAAATGTATCTATTTTGTAAAAGTCTTTTCTGTAAAGAATTTGGACTGTTTTGACATGATAAGGGTTTGTTTTGTTAGTGAGGACTGGATCATTCCTAACTGATGGAAAATAGAGCTTATTCTTAATAATGTTCAACCCTCCCAGCTTTTAAAAAAATATTATTTCATTTTGAAGTACTGGCAACTTAATTTGAAAGTGTCTTTCATATGAGAAGTATGTACTTACACTTTAGATATAAAAATCAAGTCAAGAGCAGTACATGTGAAAAAGGTCTTGGAGTCCTTGTGCACAACAAGTTAAACATGAGCCAACAATGTCATGTGGCAGCAAAAAAAACCAATAGGATTTTGACCTGCATCAATAGGAGTATAGTGTCTAGATCCAGGGAAGTCATACTACCCGTCAATTCTGCGTTGGTCAGACAACATCTGGTATACTGTGTCCAGTTCTGAGCACCGCACTTTAAGAGAGATGTTGATAGCTGGAGTGTGTCCAGAGGAGGGCGACTAAAATGATTAAGGGTCTGGAGAACAAATCCTATGAGGAGCGGCTTAAAGAGCTGGTCATGTTTAGCATGAAGAAGAGAAGTCCGAGAGGAGACATGATAGCCATGTATAAGTATGTGAGAGGAAGTCATAGGGAAGAGGGAGCAAGCTTGTTTTCTGCTGCCCTAGAGATTAGGACGCAGAACAATGGCTTCAAACTACCAGAAAAAAGATCCCATCTGAACATTAGGAAGAACTTCTTGACTGTGAGAGCCGTTCAGCAGTGGAACTCTCTGCACCGGAGTGTGGTGGAGGCTCCTCCTTCGGAGGCTTTTAAACAGAGGCTGGATGGCCATCTGTGGGGGGTGATTTGAATGCAATTTTCCTGCTTCTTGGCAGGGGGTTGGACTGGATGGCCCTTGAGGTCTCTTCCAATTGTATGATTCTATGATTCTAACTCAGACCTGACCTGGTAGCAGGATTTGTCCTTTTTGAGATCTAGAACACCTGTAATAGCAGTCTTTTAGTCGTCTCTGATATTGAGAGTTCAGGGCTTTTGGCTTTGTGGGCTTTCAGGGGTGGAAAAAGAAAATAATCCTTACTATAAACCTTCCCTATATAGTACATTGGGGAGATATACATCATTCCAGCTTAAATTCTCACATTCCGTATTGTTGTGTACCTTCAAGTCATTTCCAGCTTACAGCAATTTTAAGGCAAATCTGTCATGGGAGGGTTTTTGACAGGATTTGTTTTAGTCTTTGAAAGAGAGATTAGAATTAGGCAGCCATCAAATTTTATTAGACTACAAATTTCAGGAAGCCTAGACAATAGTGATGTAACACTGTATGATTCCCACCATAACCCTATAATCTGACATTTTTAGGATTTTTTTGTAGTTGAAATAACTGGGTTATTTAAGATATTGTTAGTTTGCATGTTTTATCAATTATTATTTCTGCATAAAATCTAAGAGCAAAGTATGACACTTTCTCCCTTTTTTTCTTGATTAGCATGCGTATGCTCTAGAACTCCTATATGAACAGTTACATGAAGGCGCCAAAGCTCTTGATGTAGGATCTGGAAGTGGTATTCTTACTGCATGCTTTGCACGAATGGTGAGATAATGAAATTTTAAAAATATATTGACTGTAGAATGTCTCTTCTAATGTCTTTACATGCAAATTAACTTTTTGGTTAAGCAAAAATAATTTTCTACTATTAAAAATTATGTATTGCTCACCTTGTCCTTCTAAGTTATTCTTTGCAATGAAACATGCCTATTCTATACACTATACTTATTCCTTCTATTCAGGATGAATTTTTATTTTGTTGAAACATTTTGCGATGTCTTCCTTTTTTGTAGTGTAGGAATATATCCCCATTCCTTTCATGTTATTCCAATATCTGGTACCAAATTTTTGTTTAAAAAATAAATCCCAGAAACTTGCCTACTTGTTAACTGAGGTATACCTGCAGATGAATGAACTATTTTGAAGAAATGCACCTCCTATTTGTCCTTTTCTTTATAATTCAATATGTATCATTTTTCTTGGGGTTTTTTTAACCTCTGCTCTATAATTTGTCAAAAGAAAGGTAACCAAGGTTCATGTAGTTCAGCATTTTTGTCAGAAGCTATGCAGCAGCTGCTTACCGTACCAATTCTGTTCCTCTAGTGTAACCCTCTTTGATGAATGTTTTATCAGAAGACTAGATTAATTACATTGTATTTCAACAAAGCAGTGAAAATGAAGAACTAAAATAAAAGAAATCCCTGTGCCTTGCACTTGAATGGATTGTAGGCTTCAAGATATATATCTCTTGTTAATATTTTTTGTATGAAAGGTGAACATTGTTGAAAGAATATTTTGTCAATGCAAACAGTAAGACACTCAGAAGATTAATAGTGAATATTTGAGTAGAGGAGAAGTTGCCTTTGTGCTAAACGTGTTTGCATGTCGGATATGCTGAAATTGTATTTGGGCCTATATAAGAGAAATGGATCATCAAATGATGTGATTTCATTTGGGATGGATATTTAAACCATCTCCTGAATCCTTTGTTAATTATTTATATTTAAAAGTTATTGAAATAATAATTGTTACTCCACAAAAACAGAAATCTGGATTTTTGTTTCAGGTCGGTTCCAAAGGAAAAGTTGTAGGAATTGATCATATCAAAGAACTAGTAGATGACTCAATAAATAATGTTAGAAAGGATGATCCTCTGTTGCTATCTTCAGGTAGAGTGAAACTGATTGGTAAGTACTGATGCATGTTATCAGTAAATATAGATATAGGAATATGAAATTATTTTAATACTAAAATTATTATTTTGTTATTAAAATAATACAAAATTTTAAATTATTTTGTATTAAGATATCCTACAGCAAATATCCCAAAAGCTTTCCATTTCACAATAACATTTCAGTTAAGTATTTCTAGTCTTGCAGTATTGTATGACACTGTGCAAATGATCTTGTATGATCTGGAGTAAGACTACAATATTGGTATGACATACCTGTTTCTTTAATAGGACTAAGAGTGCACCTACATGTAGAATTAAAGTAGTTTGACATCACTTTAACTGTCATGGCTCAATGCTATGGAATCATAGAAACTGTGGTTTAATGAGGTGCCAGCACTCTTTTGCAGAAGAGGCCACAGACACCTAGTTTTCTTTCCCCCCTTTTCACCATTGCTTTTATCATCTTTCCCAACTCTAGTGGACAGAAAAAATTATCCAAAACATGTTCAGATATAGATGCCTGTAAATTTTCCTTTCCAAGAAGTTTCAGAGATTGGTCCAAATATCACCAACTACAGGGTGGACTATGACACAGAATCAGATACTTCATGTTGCTGCTGCCACTCATGAACTGACAGTTGTAGCACTATAATCCCATTTTAACTGTTAGCTATATCCTAAGATTGTGTTTTGGTAAAGTGCTAGATTTCTCTTTCTGAATATCCATTCCTAAATTGCAAATCCAAGAATTCCACAGCATAATACCAAGTGATTTAAAGTGGAACCATAGTGCTTTGATCCCTGGAGGACTATATTCACCCTGCAATTGCCATTTTATTTTTCTAAAAATTGGAAAAGGTGCAGGGTGCAGTAGGTCATTTTAAGCCTGTCATTTTACAGGAGTTGAAAAAAGTCCCTTTGGGTCTCCACAGGGTTGCCACCAGGGAACCCATAATAGCCAACTGTACCCCATGAGAGTTCAGGAGGTACAATTTTCCCTTTGAGTAAGGGTAGACCTAGGAGTGCAAAACAATCTGGAGCAAGCGTCAAACTCTTTTGAAAGTCAGCTGTTCCCTGTCTTTGCAGTGGGAGATGGAAGGCTGGGCTGTCCAGATGAAGCACCATATGATGCTATCCATGTAGGAGCTGCTGCACCAGTTGTGCCACAAGCGGTAAGTGATTTACATGTAATAATATTTGTTTACGGTGAAGGAAATTAAAACAGCAGGCAGAGTGCTTAAACCTGCTTTAAATGGCAAATTATTTAATTAGATTTGTATTAACTGCATTTATCATAATCATGGAACTCCTTAATTTCTTATAGCAATGAAATAACTGCTAGCATCTGGAATTGGAAGTTATGTTATTATGTATATCCTACTTTTTCTCTCTTAAAAGGGATTCACAATAGCGAATTTGTGTCAAAGTCTGTCTGTATCACAAAGGTTGTTTTTAGGTGACATTCCAGTGGCCTTTTGTGATGTCACTAGATTGTTACTAGGTGAAGGATTGGCTGTTGCTAGGCAAAGTGACCCTCTGTAATGTCACTGGGAAAGAAAAGTGATGTTTATGAGGAAAAGCAAGGAAAGAAGGAAAGAGAGCCATGCTACCATGGAGACATTGTGATACCTTCTCAGAGCTGGAGAAGCAAGAAAGGAGAGGGGAGGAAAGAAAGAAATGGAAAAAGAGAGGAAAAAGGAAGGAGTGAAGGAAGGAAGGAAGGAAGAGAGTGAGAGTGAGGAAGAATGAAGAAGGAGGGAAGGAAGGGGAGGGATGAGTGGAATGAAAGGGAAAGAAGGTATGAAAGCAGGGCAGCAACGGCCCCTTCTTCATTCAGGCAATGTCAGGTAGATATTTATTTATTTATTTATTTATTTATTTATTATTTAAACTTATATGCTGCCACTCCCCTGGAGCTCGGAGCAGCTTACAAGAATAGCTAAAATCTAACAAAATTTAAAAGCAATTTAAAATAATTTAAAAACAACAATATCAAACATTAAAAGCCTGTCGAAACAGGTATGTCTTACATGTCTGCGGAAAGCTGGTAAGTCCCGCAAGGCACAGACTTCAGGTAGCAGAGTATTCCAGATATGCTCGTTGTTAATTTTTTTTAAAAAACCTATTATAATACAAGCCCCAATCTTTTTGTGTCCTACCAGCTTATGAAAGTGAGTCATTTTAAGCTGTCCCATATTTTCTGTTTCCAGACATACTTTGCCAAATGCTGAATCTAGAGAATTCTGAAGGGGAGAACTTTATTAGGTCTGAAAGGACTTGCCATTACAAAGTTCATAAAAACTTGATAACTATAAGGTTCTGGGCTTTCCTGGACTTTATACTACACAATTACTCAGTTTTTATACAGTGTGCCAGATAAGGATCTTAGTAGTACATATTGTGACTGACTTTTTGATCAGTTTGTGACTGACATTCTTTTTACAGCTTATAGATCAGTTAAAGCCTGGTGGAAGGTTAATATTACCTGTTGGCCCTGCTGGAGGAAACCAGATGCTGGAACAGTATGATAAGCTAGAAGATGGCAGTGTCAAAATGAAGCCTCTGATGGGAGTGATATATGTGCCTTTAACAGATAAGGAAAAGCAGTGGTCCAGGTGGAAGTGATTTTCTATTTGACTTTCTTCTTCCACACACTTACATTTACAAGGTGAAAGGGTCTTCATTCTTAAGAGACTAGCTTGCAAGGCTGCTTTGCGCACTGCTTCCTGCTTGACTATACCACTGAAAGCAACCTTTTGCATTGTTACATCCCCATGCGCATGTTTCTGATTGTGTCCCATTAAATGCTGATAAAAGATTGCTGCATGGATTGCTCTTATTTTATACTTGTCTGCGGCTTCTTGCTATTTTGTAGTGGTGACTATAATACTATAGCTTCTCTTTATTGTACTACATATTTCTTCATCTTGATTCTCTTCTTACTCAGATTTGGTCAATGTCTATGACAAAAGCGATATCTGTACTGATTATCTAACTGTCCTGATTAGAACAAGGATATTGTCCTTGATGAAAAGCAAACCAATCCAAATTCTTAATGTTTCAAATTTTCAGAATACCTGATATTGTCAGAATTACAATGTTTGTAATCTTTCTTCAAAGTGATGAGCAGGTTTTTTTTTATCAATCAAGCTGTCAGCTCACATCAGGTCTAAATTATATTGGCTGTTGTCTAAGTTTGCCCAGTAGTTCAAGAAAGACAGCAGAATTATTAGTTCTGAAAGCCTGCCATCTAGCATACAAATGGGTCACTCAGTCTTCATTTGCTGCTTGGATAGAAATACTTTGTTGATAAGAACCCTATATGATTCTTGAAATATATAGTAAAAATTACTTCTGGTAAAATTGTAACATTCACAGACATGGGTTTGTAACATTTAACGTGATAGGAACACATTTGTACTCATTAATGGATAAATTTTGTTAAGCTGTCTTAAATTGCAACATAACTAGCTTGTATGCATAAATTGTCAAAAGAGATCAAGAATGAAGTAAGTTAATAATTTTCTGTTGTTATCTCACTTTAATCTCTTAGTAATGAATATTTCGCCACTTTCTAATACATTCTTAATGAAAAAGTTTAGCATTTATTTAGTAAAATATTTGTTATCCACCCTCTTTTATGAGATCTCAGGGTGGCTTATAAATTCACTAAAAACAGTAAGGAAGTATATAAAAAAATTAAACAATAGAACAAATTAAAAAGATTTTATATTTTTAAAAGTTTTTAAACTATAAAAACCTTAGGTTGAATGAATAAAGCTGAAAGCCTTTGTCAAACACTTGTCTAAGTGCTTCCCATAAATGTTTCCAGGTGAAGAGTGTGTTTAGAGTACTGTAATTTATAATTTTTCATGAGTTGGTAGCAGAGATGAAAAATGTGTGACAAAGTCTACTTGTGTCTTTTTTAGCCTGAAAAGGACTGCCAATGGGTATGAAGTACAATCATTCTTCTTTCGTGTGGAGGTTGCATATCTCGTTACATCCTCATTACTGCTCTTGGATATTAATAGGCATTTTAGAAGCATCCTGCTAAGAATTGGGATAGGAATTTGTGATGTTGTAAGTGTGTGTGGATAATATGGATAAGGGTATTACGGGTAAGGGAGAGGAGTGGAGTAAATACCATAGGTGTGGGAGGGAAGTGGAGGAAAGACACACTGCTGCATTAGTAGTTAGGAAGGCAGATTGTGTGCACATTTCTGCTCACTTTACAGACATAATTACTACTTATGAATATTACATACTTAACAAAATGCATGGATTAAAGAATTTTGGTACATTCTATAATTTGTTGTTCATTCGTTCAGTCGCCTCCGACTCTTCGAGGCCTCATTTTTATTAAGATGAAATGTTTTCCATTTATTATTTGGAGACTACATGAAAGACCTCAAAATAGAACTTCAGTTTGAAAATATTTGTAAATATTCATAGTCATATAATTTAACAGCCATCCAAACATAGTTACATTTTGAAGACTTTATAGCATTCATTATTAAGGATGTTGTCCAAAGGAGTTAGAGATGTTAGAGCGACATTTTTTTTAAAATGTCAGTTTATACTCCTAGGGAAACATACCCAAAGCCAGCATACAGAAGATCAGAATCTGTAATTGAGAATGAAAGTCTATAACTGTTACCTGAGCAAGCTGGCCAGGGTTTATGTTAACATTTCAGAGACTTTCTTGTAAGTTATCTTCATGCTTGGAGAGATCAGCTGGATCTGTAGTGGTTTGCACAAAGCTTACTTTACAGTGAACAAAATTAGATTTGGTCACTTTCAAATGCTAGCTTTCTCTTCACTTGCCTTCACTTCTGCAGTGCATTACTTTGGTGGCTTTCATTTCAAAATAACTGCTAACATTAGCCATGCAAACACTGGTCACTGAACAATTGGAATCAAAGCATAATTAATTCTTAACTCACAAATAAAATCTATTTCTGCTTACCATTTGTTCAGAACATTAAACATTTTAATTGAGCACAAAATACAATAATTAAGAAATTCTGTTCTTGTGTTTTTCAGTTTCTGTAGCTGTATTAGTAATGGTTGTGCAAAAGAAACATTTTAAAAGTATTATGCAAAAATAATTAAAACTAGGTGTTCAGAAGACCACAATCACAAGATAACAGCTCAGCACTTTTCCAGTGTTACTCTGTCATACTGTACATTCCTAATCATTGTGTTCATTTTACTCTGATAACATCTTTCTCATCAATTCAAATTACTTTCCCTCTTCTCTTATTGCCTTTTAACCTGGCCTTTAGTTTCTGTGTATGACACTATTTGGATCTGCAATATTTATTTCTTCTTTTTCTTCTGACCTCTGTTGTATAATCTCTCTAAGGAGGAGTGAGGGATTTTGGCAGGTTCAGAGGTCTCTTCTCCAGCCCCAGGACCTACTGTGTGGATATTCTCTCATTCAAATCATTTGTGCATGGAAACTTTCCCATTGTATGTATTCGTGATTGGGACCTGTACCCCAGTTTTTTCAAAATTTGTGAATTTATATTATGACAAGCTTCAGTCTTGCAACAATAGAATTCCAGTCTCATTATTGAGTTATTGATAATAAAATGTCTCTTGACCTTCTATATCACATGTTCTTTGGGGTACATTCAGCTCACTAATTATTTCAGTCCTAGCCACCTCCAGAAAATAGAGAGGAGATGCTGCTTCTGGAGTCCTCCAGAAATAGTCATTCTCCTTAGAGCAAGATGCCACAACTCTTTACCTTATTCCCCTCACAAGTAGTTTTACCAAACTAGATGTGTTCTGTAATAACTTCTTCCAAACTATTTGGTGGAGAGGTGTGTGTAGGGGAGAGAGAGGGGAGATCATGGTGGACTCAAGGGAGTAAATTGACTCTTTAGTCCTCAGTCTGCTCACCTCTACTTTGAATAGAGTTGCTAGGCCAGGACCATCCTGCACACTGCAATTTTAGATGGACAACTGAGACCTAGAGATGGTTCCTGTTGATGTCCTCAAGCACAAAATGGTTGCTGAAAGTATATAATTAAGTTCACACTGTGTCTAATCAAAGAGAAAAATATGATTAAAATGTAAATTTTCCAAGGTCTCCTTTGAATTGGTGTCGCGGGTGGGACGGGACATTTTTCCCAGTGCTGTTTGGAACACTTGAGCAAGTATCGATTTCAAGTGTTTTCCAAGCTCCGTTTTGAAAAGAAAAAAAGTCTAGGGTAACTACTTCAAAGCATACCACTTCAGCAGTAGCACACAGTGAGAACATTAAAAAATTCCAAGGTGAGAATTCATGGAGCAATTCATATGAGTTGTAGGAAATATTTAATATAGAAAAAGTCATGGTTATGATTTCAGACATGTGTATCACGTGACTCTATTATTTAAATCTGAGAATACTAGTGTTCTGTTTATCCACAGACAGTGTAACAGTTATGCTGTGTAAATTTCCACATTTTTTCAGCAGCTTCTGTCTGGATGTGTCTTTTTAGTTCTTTGATTAAATCATACATGTATATTTGCTTCTGTTGAGTCTATGAAACTATGGGTATTTGGATGGATAACGTATACTTTAAAATACATTGACGTGAAGTTTTTTTTTACTTTGGAAATGTGGTAGGCACCTCCCATTTTATTTAATTTAAAATATACTTGGAAGCAGCATCAACATTAACCTCATTACATGGCTTAAAATAAGCATCTTAGAATGCTAAATGCCTTCTTGGGGGATGGAGCCCCATGGCAGTCATCATTGCCTGTGGTTCTGCTCCCAACCAGACTAAAAGTGTCAACAGACGCTTTCCTGACAACATGGAAGCCTGTGTTGTGCTGGCTCCAATGGAGCCAGTATGGGGCCTTCCTGCAAGGACGACATTTTCCCCATATGATGGGGAAAGCATTGCAAGAGGGAGTTGCCTCCAGGGGGACAGATTTGCCATACTGCTCCCTCTTTCATTGGAAGCCAGGTGAAGTAGGATGCTTTGCCTGGCCTTTATGATAAGGTAGTAAGTAAATAGATTTTTTAAAAAAAGGATTAGTGGAGATTTGCTTGGATATATCATGAGATTGCATGGCTCACTGGAATAGACAATATTGTAATGATCAGTCAAGTGAAAGGGTGGATTGATTCAATCCAAGAAGCTACAATCGTGTGCTTTTTGATGACCAGAGCTTTTGGAGATCTCATTCATAGAGTTGTCATGAACTGAAGACAACTTAGTGGCAAATAATGAGGACAACAGCTCTGCTTATGTGTTACCACTGTTACTGGCAAAGTGTTTGAGATTACTAAAATGCGGATTTTTTAATTATAAAATTATTGAGGCATGTCTGTCTTAGAGCTGTGAGTAAAGTTATGATTTTATTAAACTATAGGACAGCATATACTACAAGGGCCTGTCAGGTAGCGTGGATCCAGGTGGTTAAGTAGGTTCAGGGTAAAAACCTACTGCATAGAACAGTACATTCTGGAAACTGTTTTTCATGTTTCCAGTTTGCTATATCTGCCTTTTAGAGTTCAATTGTGCATGCTGCCATTTCATGCTAAAATGCTACAGATATATGCGCTTTTGCATTTAGAATAGATGTTATATGATTCATAAGAATGTAGTGGCATTCTCTGCATGCTGGTGGCTTCAATTGCTTTATTTTGTATATTAGAAATTTGGGATTTATTTTGTATGTTGGAAATTCGGGCTGAAGTTCGCATGAATATCTGTAGAACTGGTGTCCTCATTGAATTAAAATATTTGTTAAAGATCAATTGCAGTATAAAACCAAACATTTTTTCCTGGCATTATTAACTAGTACACAAAGAGCCCCCTTGTGCCGGCAGGATTGACGGCCGAAAGGTCGGCGGTTTGGATCCAGAGAGCAGAGTGAGCTCCCATCTGTCAGCTATAGCTTCTCATGTGGGGACATGAGAGAAGCCTCCCACAGGATGGTAAAACATCCAGGCATCCCCTTGGCAATGTCCTTGCAGATGGCCAATTCTCTCACACTAGAAGCGACTTGCAGTTTCTAATGTCACTCCTGACATGAAAAGAACAAACTAGCACACAAGTATTCAAACAATATGTGTAACTAATAGCTATTGCTGGAAGAATGACATAAATTTGTTCTAGTCTCAGTCTTTACTTGTTTCTAGATCTGTCACTGTCACAAGTTTTATTGAATGCTACAGTGGTAAATTTAAATGAGACCACTGTCTCATTTAAATGAGACCAAGGTATCACACTTTTCAGCTTTTTGTACCAAGAATAATAGTTGTTTGGAAATGAATTTCTGTTGTTAAAAGTTTACAGAAAGCAAAAGCATTAATTTAAAGAACAAGTGTAAAGAGTGGAGTTGTAATTTTTGTTTTATTTTTGCAGGGATGAAATGTAAAAGCTATGTCATCTTATCCAAACATCGTGTTAACAGTGGACTGCTCATCTCCAGTTCTTAAAAGTTTTTTCAACACCAACAGCATTGCAGCTTGTTTTGGACTCTGTTACACTGTTATCAGCATGGAAACGTGTGGTGTTTTTATTTTGTAGAGATTTAATGCAAGTTAATGAACTGATGGAAATTTAAATTTGGGCACTCGTTTCTTTTCACCATGCCCTTATTTTCAGCCATTTAAGGAAATGAAGGATGTCTGCAAAAGTGCAGCTAAACCTGCAGTCTGTTTGCTTTTATTTTGGACTTGGAAACTTTTATGAACACATATTTCTGTTCCAGTGTTCATTCATCAAACTGCTTACCTGCACTTTCTGACACTACATGCACACTATAAGATCCTTTGTGTTCAGCTGTCTTCTAGATGCTACTAAATGAGATGAAGTTCGTCAAAGCTGTCAGCGTGGTATCATAGACAAGCATGTAGTTAATACAATCAGCTGCTTTCCTCCCTTTACAAATAAAAACATGTATATACACTTCAAGACATCAGAAGTGACAGCTCTTGTTGTAGATACTGCTGTTCAGGATGGACATAACTGACATAGTTTCCTTTCCCCTCCATTGTTAGAGAAACTTAAGAGATTCATCATTAGGTATTGTTTCTAGCTGACTTGCAGACTTGATGTACCTGAGTTTACTATAACAAATACTGTGTAAGCTATGTCCTAATCATTGAACAGTTAATGCAGTGCTGCTTTGCCAAATAAAACGGAAAACAAAAAAAGTGTTGTAAATGTTTTGAATGGGGAAATTCCTTGGTGATTGAACAATTGCTGATTGGGCAAAAAAATCATGTCCAGGTATGTGGAAATATTCATGTGATCTTCATATTGTGCCGGGGGGGGGGGGGGTGTCAGAAAATGGGAGCATACATGTGTTGAAAATGAACTCCCAGGTCCGCTTTTGCAATCTCCTAGACCATCTCCATTGCCTTCCTGAATACTGAGGGGGTAAATATTGTCCCACATCAGTCTATTGTCATTGCAGGAAGCATCCAGGAGTGCAGATGGCTAAAATGCACCCACTTTCATTCATTTATATAGTGTCATCACTATACATGGTACTTTACAACTAAAGAAACAGCAAAATCACTGGTATTCCCTACTCTCAGATATGATACAAAAACATGATACAAAAAGAAAAGAGTATGGTAGTGTTGGAGGGGATTAAGCCCAGAAGATACTACTGCTTCTTCATTTCCCCCTCTAATGCCAGGATGGTGGTAGTTGGGATGGAGGGATGATGTTTCTTCTGCTTCTCAGCCTAGGCCTGATGAAGCTGTACCTACTTCTTTCCTCCCTCTGAAACTAGGACAGTGGAATTTGGGGTGGAGGGAAGGTCTTATGTTGTGTTTCCTATAACACCTTCATTTGGCACTTTCTTATGCTCTGGCTTCCATCTCTCCAAACAAGGAAGAGGAAGAATCTAGGGTTTATTTTAGATTCTATGGTTTATTCTATAGTCTCTTAATCTGGTATCTTGTAAGGCGGAAGAAGTACAACTAGAATGTCAGATGTTGCTACTGAGCTCAAGCTCATAGTAAATACTGTGTTTTTTCAATTCTTTTTTGCTATATAAACAATACTTAAAATGGGATGCATCTTGGAATCACAGATATATCTTTGTTGGTGGTAACAGTGCTGAAATTAAAGTGCATCTTACAATTGATGGCATCTTACAATTTAAGAAATACAGTAAATCAGCAAAATCTGTGGCTTGTTTATATTTATTGCAACCAGCAGCAGCTGGACAGTGTATACCAGTAAGTTGTATGGCCAAGGCTTTCATACTTTAGCTCATTGTGACAAACACAGCCAAAAGGTCAAAGGGCCAAATAAAAAAAATGAAGCAATCATCTCTGTTCAGATATAAAGCAGGAAGTTTGGGTTCTTAAGGCCAGATTAAATTTGATGGAAGAGATGAATGAATATGTTGACACAGTAAAGGAAACACCAATTGCTTTTTCCTTCCTCCACTATTGTTCCAGGCTCTCCTTTCTGTTCACAGTTTCAACACCCAAAGTAAATTGGAAAAGATTTTTTAAAATTATATAAACAAAAGTTCTGCATTATGTAGAAATGATGTGAAGATTTTTAAAAGTGTGTAACTATAGTTTGGCTCTTACATTATATATTTAAATGTACAAGGGTCAATTTTGCAAAAATACAGATCTCATCTTCTCTTAAGCATTTAAGACAAATGTACATAGTTCTTGTCAACAGGAAAACAAATACTGTGCAACAGATCAAGAATAAAATAGGTTTATTTTTCTTCACACATTTGGATTGGGAAATTGGCAATTTAGGAGTCTGTGGTAAGTTATTTGATTAATATAAAGAAAGCATACCAAATAGTTGTGTGTCTTTTCTGTAATGATTTTTACCTGGGCCCTCTGTAATGCATTTATAAAGTTGGATAAAGTAGAGAGTTCACATACAATAACTTACACAGATCACACACTTCACTGTATAACGCTTCTTACAACGCAGTCAATAGTTTTAGACGAATGGACAAGCACTTAATTGGTATAGTTACTGAATCTTATCTGCTGTGAAGATCCAATTAGGCAGTGTTGTCATCAAGATTAAATGACAAACCCATTGTCCACAGAAACAATGGAGTGAATTGTTGAACTGGAAACTTGGACTGTATCAGAATTGGAAGTACCACTCCAGAAAGAAAGTAGATACCACATATTTCATATTAACTTTTTTACAAATAAAATAAAGAACAAAATGGTACAATTAGAAAAGCAGCATAGCAGAGGGCAAACTGGCTACAGTATTTCTCCACACTGTTAGATATATATTTTTATTCATGGGACGATCTGTAGAATGAATTATTTTAAGTGCACCTTTTTTCGTGTCAGGAGAGACTTGGGAAATTGCAAGTTGCTTCTGGTTTGAGAGAATGGGCTGTCTGCAAGGACGTTGCCCAAGGGATGCTCTGATGTTTTTGGTGTTTTGCCATCCTTGTGGGAGGCTTCTCTCATGTCCCCACATGGGAAGCCGGAGCTGATAGAAGGAGAGCATCCATGCTCTCCCTGGATTCGAACCTCTGACCTGTTGGTCTTCAGTCCTGCTGGTACAAAGGTTTAACCTATTGCACCACTGGGCTCCCAGTGCACCTTAATGGCTGTCTTTAATGACCCATATATTCCACTACCACCTCAATTTGGACTGATGAGGGTTTCACCTTACTAAATGCCAGGACTTCTGTGTTGTGATTTATAAGCTCTGAAGTACTTATAACAAGAAAAAGAAAGTATCTTTCAGCATTTTCTTTTTGAATATGTGAATTGGTAACTGAGTAGCCAGGTAAACACTATTATTAATTTGATCATGGCCCCTTTTTTCAAAATCTGAAAAATACAGGACTAAGAAAAAAAATAAGCTCTCAAATTGGAGGAATGAAGTATAAACCTGAGAAGACACGAATCTGTCAAAGAGATCTTAGGTAGATTCAAAGTTGACTGTTACATACTTAGTTTAGAACAGCACGAAGGAATTGTCATTTCTTGGGGCAAAGACAGGAGGAGAGAAGTTTAACAAGAATAAATATGAAGAACAACAACGAAGGCTCCCAGGATACAAGCTAAGATTAGCACAGCTTTTCCATGGATCATTTAACGGGATCTATGGATGTGTAAGAATTTTGTGGTTTTGTGGATGCTGGGAGCTGTAGTTTAATAGGTGATGGGTCGTTTTAAGACCATTCCCCATTTACAGCTTTCAATGCAGCAGAAACTAACAGCACAGAACAGTAAAGCAAAACACTGCCAGACATCGGGTTTGCTACGTTATGACAAAACTGTTCCATTTCTAACCCAACATAGTTTAACTAGGAAATTTTCAAGTCTGCTTGTGGCCTCTGGATATGTAAACTGGAATAAGAGCTCACAATCTAAGGTCTGAATTCAATTTCCAACTGAAATAGACCCACTGAACCAGTAAATGAATAGTAAATCAACACAGGCATGCCTGAAAGATTGAGTTGGATTTAAGCCAAAATACCCCACAGAAGCAGCTTGCCAAATACAGTAATGTCCATGAGCAGTAACACAATTCTTGTTCAATGATTCCCAGGAATTTGGTATTTCAGCTCCAAAATCCCTGACAGCTAGCCGAGCTGATTGGGTCTTCTGGGAGTTGAAGACCCAAACACTTGGAGAGCCAAAGGCTGGGAAACACTGTTGTAGTTTGACATCTCTTGAACTGATAGCAATGCCGAGTAATTTTAAAAAATCCCATAAAGAGGTAAAATTAGTGATGAAATATCCTTATGGGGGGGGGGGTACTCTCTAACTTAACACCAGACACTGCGGCCAATGCAGTAGCAAATAATATGCACCTAGTGGTACAGTGATGGGAATTGTGCAACATTCTAGATATCACAGAATTGCAACTCCGAGTATTTCTCACCAATGGCTATGCTGACTAGGGCTAATGGGAGTTGCACTCAAACAATTCCCACCTCTGATCTAATATGATTAATGGAACAATCCATGGCCTGATGCATTCCATCTACTGGCAGTAGGATCTCACTGCTTACACTAGCACAACAATCCCAGAAACTGACACTGGGATTCTAATTGGTGTTGTCAGGTTGCACAAAGCTATATTATAAATCAGGGAGAAGATGGAGCATAAAGAGCAGGCAGCAGGTTTAGGAGTTCTAAAAGCCTATCAGAAACCATACAAGAAGTTCCAGTAACATTACTGCACGGTGAAATCGCAGTAAAAGATTTTGTGAGATAGCTACAGACACAGAAAATAAGAAGTCAGAAACCCATCGTACTGCCAATCAAGACAGTCCCAGAACTCTGGCAGGGAAGCAATTCAGTATGCTGTTGCAACTATACACATTTAGTTTGCCACAGACTTCAAAAGAAAGTTTCAGAAGATGGCTGATCCTTCTTCATCAAAAATATGTTGTTGTTAAAAAATGCAAGAGGCACACTTTCTTTTGGAAAGCTTGAGAGAAGGGAAATAACCTGAATCCTCCTTTAGAGATACATCCCATTTATGAGGTAATCCGATTCCTCTGACATAATGGGCCGGGCTTTCTTAAGTTTGTGTCTCACTAAACGTAATCGGCAAACTACCATGAGCAGCAGCAAAGCAGTGATGGCCAGTCCCAAGGCTAAAGGCAGTACTGCGCCTACAAGGGGGAAAAAAACAGTTAATAAGTGCTAACATACCGAAAAATCAACGCTGGCAATTTTATGTATCAAGTGTTATGTATTAGGAATAGCAGCAAGAAAGCATGTACCATAAATCTGCAGATCAGAGGTGAGTGATCTCTACTTGTTTATAAGTAGATTAAATATTGAGTGCTGTTTTATGTATTGTAAATTGGCTTTAATTGTTTTAATAATTCATTTAGATAGTTCTAGGTTTAATTCTACTTTAATGTTTATAATCTTTAGGTTGCAAATTGCATTTTGTATTGTTTTTACCACTGTTTTCCATTTGAGTCTCGTTAAGAGGAAAAAAGTGGTATATTAGTAGTAGTAGTAGTAGTAGCAGCATACTATTACTATTGCTCTTATCCTTAATGCTGCTACATGTCCTATGCACTTTACTCATTGGCCCTATCCTCCAATCTGTTGTGCAGCAGGCTGCCCACCCATGTTGAGTCTTGACTATGTTATTGCTGTTGGTTTTGGTGCTTGTTTTATATTTTGTATTATCTTGTTTTATGTTGTTTTAAATTGCTGTGATACACTCTAATGCGCTATGTTTTAACTCTCTTATTGGGCTTGGTCCCATGTAAGCCACCACAAGTTCCTTCGGGGAGATAGAGGCGAGGTATAATAATAATAATAATAATAATAATAATAATTATTATTATTATTATTATTATTATTATTATTATTATTATTATTATTATTGTAGGGGTAGTAGTAATTTACTGTAAAAGTCCAATGTGTTTAGCCTGTACAGAAATAGTAATAAAGTTTTATTAAGTCTCAGCTTGCTTAATGGGAAAAGTGTATATGATTCCTGAAATTTCTGCCATTGATCTAATTGATAGCCCTGGAGAACGGCAACCTTATTTGTTCCTGCATAGAAAACCAACAAATTTCAGTTATTTTCTCCCTGCTCTGCAAAAGGAGGGAAAAATACATGGGATTTTGTGCAGTTCTTGAGCACAAAAATCTGGAGTTTAATTGGGGGAAAATCATTGCATCATGCTTTTCCTGTGTAGACAATGCACATTTTGCATATTATAAATGGATTCCTGAGCAAAAAAATATATTATTTTTTTCACAAAAATACCTATTTTTTTGCACAGGAGCCTAAGTATATTTGTATGAATTGATCACCCAATTTGTGTAATAACACAGATTCCTGCAGATAAAAAACGCACCGTTTCCTTCATAAAACCTAATATTTTTCAAATTTTGTGTATTGTTTTGAGCAAAGTAGACAATTTCTTCTACTTTTGGTTTAAATGAAGTTTTGAATTTCTGATTCTTAAATAATAATAATCATCATCATCATCATCATCTTTATTTGTACCCCACCACCATCTCCCCAACGGGGACTCGGGGTGGCTTACATGAGGCCAAGCCCAACAATGCAATATAATAAATAAATTCCAAACACAAACAACAACATAATCAATTACATAAAACATAAACTATAAGAATACTACAACCAATATAAAATTGCAATAAAATCATTCATAATACAAAACAGTGAGCGGGCTGCATGTATAGAGTAAAATACTAAAGGCAAAAACAGGGGGTGAGATAGCAGTGGAGCAGATTATTTGTGAGGGAGGAACTCTTCCGAAATGGGGTCGAAAAAGGGACCTTCCTACAGGGGAGAGGTGTGCACAAAGAACAAATATTGAGGGTTAAACTGAAGATATAGGGATACAATACATGCGATTTTTTGTTTGGTATTTTGTAGTGCATCCAACTTTGATAGTGGTTGAAATGCATTAAAGGTAAAGGTAAAGATTTCCCTTTAACATTAAGTCTAGTCTTGTCCAACTCTGGACATTTCTAAGCTGAAGAGCCAGTGTTGTGTGTAGATGCCTCCAAGGTTATGTGGCCGGCATGACTGCATGGAGTGCTGTTACCTTCCTGCCGGAGCAGTACCTATTGATCTACAAACATTTGCATTTTTTTGAACTGCTAGGCTGGCAGAAGCTGGGGTTAACAGTGGGAGCTCACCCTGCTCTCCGGATTTGAACTATCGATCTTTCAGTCAGCAAGTTCAGCAAGTTCAGCAGTTTAACTTGCTGTGCCACTGAGGGCTCCTGACATGCATTAGGCTTTTTAAATAATTAAGAAATAAGTAAGTGACCATCGATCAGCACATGGAGCTTTGATTTTTCTAAGTGCTCATCAGTTTTGCTTTTTATACATCTCAGCAGTTCTCACCTTTGCCCAAGTCTCTCTGCTGTCCTTTTAAAAAGATGGAACAAATATGCCAAATAAATCTATAGTTGTGGAGAATATGCTCCCTCCCTCAGCATACTTTTAAAATAAAGCTGGGTTTTCCATGATCAGAGGGAAAAAACCATAGCAGCCACTGGATAATAGCATTATATGGATTCCTTATAAAAAAGCAAAAGTGTGAAAAATAGCAAATCTATTTCCTGCCATGCTTGATATTATTAACTGGTTATAACAGTTTAAATCCAGCCTGGAAGAGTTGGTTTAAAAGGGTTTTTTCCAGGCTGTGACAGATTACTGCTATCACTCAAATGACATTGTGCAACCTTCCAGCTTCCCTAATTGATTAAAAAAACAACCATCAGAAATCTCAATTGGAACATGAGGAGGCCTGCAAATCGAGGGCCTCTCCCATTGCAGTTTTCATGGCACTTTGTACATGAAGCAATTCCATGGTAGGCTGTCTTCTCCCAGGTGTCCTACAGCTTCCTCTTAGAGGCGGCAGAAATCTGTCCCATCAGCTGCTAAGGAATCTTTGACACCATAGATGGATAGGAGTAACAGAGGAGGCAGCAACTGAGGAAAACTGAATGCACCATTACAGGTCGAGAAAGGATGGTGGTGGGGGAGGGAGACACAGCTGCAAAATAATGCATCTGCCAGAGCAGCAGCTAAAATGCAAAACCAGCTGAGGAAGTGAAGGAGGTTGAATTAGGAGAGGAAGGACTAGATTTGCAGGACAATGATGGCCAGGAGGACTGCATAGGCTCTCTTTTGGGGTAGGTCCATGGGGGTGACACCATGAGTTAAGGTACTGAGTGATACCAACTTTAGTGGGAACATTGTTTGTCCATTGCTTGCCTATAATTTAGGCATGCCCCTGGATGCCTAAATTATAGCTCTAAATGCTCTACTGAAGTTTTAAAGTAAGTTACTGCCATGTTACAAATGTAGAGATCAGAGACAAAGTTAATGGTGGTGGACACAGAAATCTGATTGGTGGTGGAATGTCTTAATTGTCTTGCCTCTCCAAGTCCCTTTGGGAGACAGGACGGGATATGAATAAAGCTTCATTCATTGATTCATTCATTTGCCATAGCCCCACTAATTTGGAAGCACTTTGAACTAGTCATCCCCAAAAAACAGAACCTTTTGGCATGGGTAGATTTAATATTCATGCTGATAAACATCTGTATGGCCACTGTGAGATGAGATATCGAATGGAGCCAGGACTAGCATGGATCTTATATGCTTAGTTCAAATTAAATTCCATACCAGGGAAAAGATTACTTGAAAATGTAGTCTCTTAATTACCTGCTTCTGGGACTGGATGGCTTTTTTCAGTTTGTGTGCCCTTTAATGACACAATGTCATCTTCATTCTTTTCATCTGTGTCTTTCCCTGAGGTTCTAGAACCTGTAAAATGAATCAGGAGATGATTATGTCTCATTAATTGAAGAATAATTTGCTCTGTAGACTGCACTATCTCCAACATTTCATGAACTATAATAAGTGATGAAGTTAGAGTTGGTTTTCTTACAATATAAAAGCTTATTTTATTTTAGAGAGGATTTAAAGAATGCAAAAATGTGGAATAGGTATTTATTCTGCTTGCCCAGCTGTGTTTTATATTATATATAGAAAAAACCCCCAAACAAAACATACTAGTATGTTAGAGATAGCACACAGGTTGCAAATTTAGGGAAGGGCTTTCCAGAACTGCCATTGTTTGAGATGGTTTCGTATACAAGTTTGTCCTCAGTAGTATGTTGTCCTATTTACAGTGGGAAAATGTGTGACTAAGGTTGCAGCCATGTACATAATGAATGGGAATGGTGTAGTCCTCCAGCTTTTGCTGAACTGCAGTTCCCAGCAATCCTTACCTTTGGCAATAGTTACCAGGGCTGCAAAGAAAAGCAGTCCAACATCATCTGGGAAAGGCACATGATTCTCATCCATGTTATGCACAAATCTATTTGGTTAAGTCCCACAGAACTCAGCAGAACTTCCTTTTAAGTGTATACTTATATCATATTTATGTTCATATGCTGCCTTTCTGGTTAAACCCCTCTCCCTGCAAGTGGTTTAAATAATCCATCAAAAAACAATTAAAACGTAGTAACATGTTTTATTTTTCAATAGTGTGTGTAAGCTACTTTGAGCTGGATGTTTTTACCTGATTAGTCAGAATACGTCGAAATATTCTAAAGGCACCAGATTCTCTCTGAGCTTGGAAACTGAGCAAGATCAGCCTTGGTTAGTACTTGGATTGGAGACCACCAACAAATAGCAGGTGCTTCAGGCTATATGTCAGAGGAAGGAACTGGCAAAACTACATCTGAATCTTCCTTGTCAAAGAAAATCCTATGGAATTTATAGGTCTGCCATAAGTTGACAGAGAGCCTGAAAGTGCACATGCATATAAACAGGGAACATATTTTATTCCACACTTTTTTACTCCACTTTAAACTCTTCACTTTCCCTGGAGTCTCACAGTCCTCACTGACCTGATGTTGTCAATGGCTTTTGCGTTGTATAAATGTATTCAAAGTGCTAGGAAAAAGTGATATAAAAGTTCCTTTTCTCCCTAACATCCTTGTTGCTATGTGTACAGTAGCTAAAAGGAGAGAGGTCTACTGCCCTGGAAGCATAAAATAAAATAACCTAAAATAAAATATTAAGTGTCAGAAACAGGTAAACTTCTCTGGACTTTAGGAAGAAACAAACTAACAGGGCAAATGGAAAGCTTCAGCAAAGAGGCTGAATGAATGCCAAGTTGAGTGAAATAAATGGACAGGTGGATGGATGAGTAAGCAGGCAGATGAACTCACTCAAACCCCATCAAACCGTTATGAGACCTAACAAAACAATGCAGCTGACTCAGCACCAGTGTAGCACTACACATTCCAGCATTGTGCCGTGCATACTTTCCAAGGACAGTGAGAGAAAAACATCCTATCAGTTCTATACAGAAGGCACCCCCCCCAAAAAAAAACAACAACAAAAAACAACAAAGCTTGGAGGACAGTCCTTTCCCTTGACCCTGAGCTCTGGCTGGGAGGGATAAATGCTGAGGAAGCAGCTGTGTCAGAACTCGATTTCTCCAGTCATTGTAGGACTTGAGAAAAAAAATGTAGCTGCTCTTCGTTCCACAGGGCACACTGAGAAGTGCTAGTGTCCATCCTTTGAAAACCATCTCCTCAAGGGAAAATTGACCATTATGCCAGAACAAAGCTATATTTAATGTAGGACACTACTTCTCTCTCTCTCTCTCTCTCTCTCTCTCACACACACACACAAATGGTACTAGAGATAAACAACATGTGGAAATAATAGTTATAAGTTCCTAAACCACAAAAAGGGGGAGTGGTTCAATATGTTTCAGGAAATCCTTTGCCCAGGCGAAATGAAATAATTATGCAAGATAAGCCTTGCATAAATAAACAAAGGTGCTTTAAACTTTTTAGAGAATGCTTGAAACACAAACATGTCTGCATTGCCTTTAAAAATCCTATTATATAGCATCTCATTGTAACAATCCAAACAAGCACTGCTCTCTGAAGCTTCTGTTAAAGGATTCAGACTGAGTCACTGAAAATCGGAACACAAAGGATTAACCTACAAAGTGTGAACATCTTGTCTTTGGGACCAGTACCTATGATTTCACCTACCTACATCCAATAAAATATGTCCTCTCTAGGAATTTTCTAGGTTCTCCAAGTGATTCCATGATATGCTCCCACCACAAGTTACTACCGAGTTACCCTGGAGGACTTTGCAAATTTCTAAAGAGGATACATCTGGGAATATTTTAGCTCCTTCCGGACAACTCTATGACAATCTCTGGCAGAAGTTGTTTATTTCAATAGGATTCACTAGAATGCACAGTTTACTGTTTGTTGTTGAATCTGATTCCTGCCATGTCACTATAAGAGAAGTGTTTCTCCAGCTCATGATGCCAGTGATTCACTTTCCCTGTGCCTACTACTGAAGAAAGCTGACAGCAATGGAAAAGAAATAGATCCCGACAATCAAGACTGCAATTGAGGTATGGAGACACTCAGTAGAGGGGCCAACAGACATTATTAACATACATACAGACCACTACAACCTCAAATGGCAGGAATCAAGATGTCCAGGAAGTTAAATCAGAGGCTTGGTCATTATTGGCTTCAAGCTCCTCTATTTTCCTCACTCTCAGAACCGACAAACTGACAGTTCATCCAGGAAACTGGAATACACTTCTTTGAAGTAAAGGAGATCTAATCTACCACTCTCCAGAACACTTTGTGACCACATGTATTCTTGGCCACACATGTTCCCCTGACACTCATGGATCAGATCTGGGAGCAGAAAGGTCAAGATCAGGCCCGTAGCCAGGATTTCGATTGGGAGGGGGGGGGTGAGTTTTTTTGATGGGGGGGGGGGCTGAGTCTGAGTGAAAAGGGTCTACCCTAGCAAACCTTTTGTATCATTACCCCAATACCCCCATGCATATGGGATATATTGAGTATGGTGATCAGATCATGATATGAATAAACATAACAGTTTAAATAATGCACCAGTAAGGCCTTTTCGCGAACCACCGTGAGAATTTCGGGGGGGGGGGGCTGAAGCCCCTCAAGCCCCCCCCCCCCCCCGGCTACATTCCTGGTCAAGATGCATTTCTATAAATGCATTTAGGAGAGATGGGACTGTCACAGGATAATGACCAATATGTGCTTACTCCCACCAAGTAACAATAACACAGTCAAATCCCCCCCTTATTTCCTGCATGATTACTCCTCCCTACTAATATTGACAAAATGCACTTTATATCTTTGTTACATGGTTAGCTGGCAAAGGGGAACAAATCAGGCTGAAAATAGTGAAGTGCAGCAAGGGATTCCACATGGAATTGACAGAATGCTAAATCCAACTGTTAAATCTAACCAGACCCAATGAATTAGCAGGATTTACAGAAGTGTTGATTTTACAGATACTGGTCTTTCAATAAATTTACTCGAGTTGAAGTTTACAGATTAATCACAGGAATGCCATTTCAGCAAAAGTGTATTGTGCAGTTTCATCCTCAAATATGTGGACCTGCACATCTACAACATTATCTGTAGCCAGCAGGGTATCTAAACTATGCAGTTAGCAGCAGTTTGACTCCCATGGCATCATCCTATGTTTATGTTTTAATTTGTGATGTAAAATGATAGAAGCAACATGGTTTAGAGCAGGCCTCTTCAAACTGCGGCCCTCCCAGAATTCCTGATGGGTGAACAAGCTGGCTAGGGCTTCAGGGTGCTGGAGGCTCAAACATCTGAAGTTCTGCAGGTTGAAGAGGCCTGGTCTGGAGCCAAGTGAATTCAAACAGATGCAAAATACAAGGAGCAAAATCCAAGGACCTTTCAGTCTAGAAGGGCCCCACTGAAGACTTTTTGAGGTGCTGTGGATCAGGACAATGTGAAATGATATTTGCAGCTCTCTCCTACAATACTCTCCTGTTTTTAGGATATATTCAGAGCAGAGAACTGGCAATACACCTTGAAGTCCTGTGCTAACCGCTTGTCTCAAGCTTCCCTGCAACTGGGGGAGTGCTAGAGATGTAATTTCGCAGTGCCCTGAAATGCAGCGCCTCTGTTGTTCTTGGGCTGGGATTCTGCCAGGCTGAAAGAGTAAGGTTTTTAAAAAGCACATTCAGTGATTAACAACCACAAACATCAATTTCTAGCAGTTATGAGATTGTAAACCGAGGATTGTTGTTGTTATGATGGACCTTCAAATCCTTTATACTTTATGGCAACCCAGTCATGGTGAATTTTTTTTTTGGCCAGATTTGTTCAGAAGGGGTTTACATCTGCCTTCCTCTGAGAGTGTGACTTGTCTAAGGTCATCCAGTTGATTTTCATGGCCAAGCAGGGATTTATTATTTATTTAGAGCTTTTATATCCCGTCCTTTCTCAACCTCCGCAGAGGGACTTAGGACAGCTAACAAAGCGACACCCCATGGCGCCCACATCAAAACATAAATATACAATTAACAGCAATGTAATAATAACACTTATTACATTGGATTTGGATTCTGGTCTCTCAAGTCAAAAAAATCAAACTAGTACACCACTGAGGATGACATATGCCCACATACATTTACTGATAACAACCCATCTGTGTTGTGACTGACCCAGTTTAGCCACTCTCCCTGCTCTATTTTAAGAACTACCAGTATGTGTCAAAATCCACTCATCTTCTGATGTGTAACAAGTAGTGATCACAGGCTCCCCTACTCGTATCAGTATGTTGAAGTATATAAATTGGCTTATATATAATATATAACAGCCTAATTACATCTAAACATGGAATATGTTCCCATTTACAAATCAAAATGATGGGTTCAAAATGTACTTTACAATAATGACCAGAACTGCAGAATGAAGGAAAGGCAAAACATGGGTTAGTTAAATACAGACCACTGGTAGCAGTTTGTATGACTGTAAATATTAAATATAAAGGATTGGTTTGATGACTATTGGACAATAATTTTATTATTAGTTTCCTTTGTATTATGAATTTTAATCCTTATATTTACTTTAAATGTACTTCATGGTAATCATTGGCTGCATTCCGTTTCATGATGTACTTGTCTGTTGCACACCACATGTTCATCAGTTACATTATTTACTTAGTTGCTTTGGTTGTTTTAGGTTAAAAAATCTTATTTTGTGTACAGTTACTTTCACGATATTATCGTATTTACATTCACTTCTTCATTTAATTTGACAGTTGTAACCCCCTGTGTTTTGTGTCCCCTTGGGACTCTTCTACAATTTTACAGTGCTAGAATCAGCCAGTAATGACTGCCAGGAACATAGGTCGAACATTGGATTAAGCTTCTTTGGCAACTGAAGTTGGACAGAAGCAATATATTGATCATGGCTAACTGTGAATTGCAGTTGATCTTCCTCATGACTTCACACTTGTCTTTCTCTTCAAATTGCAGAGTGAGAGAGTACACTACAATCAGCAACTGCATTGTGCAAGCTTGGTTGTCTGAATAGCTGTTATCACAGACCTCTTTTCAACTAAGAAAACTGGAGTGCTTTCACACCATGCAATTATAGCACAATGGTTGCACTTTAACTAGCATGCCAACATTCTATAGAATCCTGGGATTTGTAGTATAGTGAGGCATGAGAGTTCTGTGACTGAGAACTTTGAATGCTCCTTCCTAAACTGCAAAACCCACACTTTGATGGGATTTTTCGATGGGGCTTAAAGTTGAATCATAGCACTATGCTAAGTAGTGTAAAAGGACCCTTGGTAAACCAGCTCATACAATTCCAGTAGGTCAACATGATAACAACACTGGACTTTGTTTTTGTTTTTAAGAAGTGACTGATTATTACCATGAACGTTTACACATTCAGCAAGACAGTCAGATTCTTGAAGGAAGTTGTTTCCATTGCCTTTGCAGCCACCATAGATGAAATGTATACAAGTACCCAAAATATCATCAAAATGCCAGCGAGGAAAGTGCTCATTACATGGACCAGCATCAGGGGAAAACAAGCACTGCTCTGTAATTGTAACAGGAAAAGTAAACTATAAATATACGTTTTTATATGCTGGCAGAAAACAAAAGTCCCCAAACAACATTTTCTAACATTTATGTATGTGGAGGAGTTAAGGAGGCACGGAATAAATTCTTGTCTGGCATATGCTTTGAAAACTGCTAAAAGTATCCCTTCTTTGGCTTGTAGCTCTAAGAGACAAATTAGGATTGGGAAAACTTGTAATAACTAATATACAATATAGTGTTGCATTTCTCTTTAGTTTTTCTTCGAAAGGGGGAACTTTTGGACACATGCTAGACATCAACACTGTTTTACTTTCTTGTTCGAGGGATCGACTGTTGGCCTTCTTATCCTTTTCTTCTCTCTCTTTCTCCCTCCTCTCTGTATTTGATTTAATATGCTCTATCTTTTCTACTGCAGCAGTTTGGCTAGATTTTTTTCTACATATTCTACATATTCCAAATGCTCATCATATGTTACAAAATGCTTTGCTTCCAAAGATAATGGGCCATGGAAACAAAAGGGTTGCATGCATTGGAACACCTCTGCTTGTGAATGGAGAGACACTCAATTCTTCCTATCCTTCTTTAGTTACTGCAACCCTCTGGGCAATATCGAATAATACTACAGAGCTCTCCTTGCACTATAGCAGCACTTTGGATGTCAGCTCCCAGAATTCCTACCCTTTGAATGAGTAGCTTGAGTTTCTGGGAGTTGGAGTCTGAAATATCTGGACTGCCACATGTTTGACAGCTCTGCGCTATAAGAACAGCTTTGCAGAGAGATTGTTGTTTGTGGGGAGATGCCACAGTGGGTATAAAGAACGGGACTTGCCTGATTCACTACAGGATACAATTTGATATAATTTTCTCAATAGTTTTGAAATAGAAACAAAATTAATGAAAACATACTATCACATCTTACATCAGCGAACAGCGATGTTCAACTATGTGTTTCTCTTACTATAGTCCTATCTCTCCTTATTAAGAAGCAAATGCTTCTTAATAAATGGATTTATTTCCAAGTAAATATGCAAAGATTTTACTGATCCAACTGCAAAATCTGCCTGTTAGACTCAAGCAAAACAGATCCTATTTTCTCTCACTTCCTAAGGGCAGTTGACAATATCATTTTTATCATTCACTGAGACCTGATAAAACATGCATTGTTAACAGTGATACACTTTTATTCTATATATATATGTAGAGTTTTTGCTATAATCTATTGCATGTCAAAGATATGATGTCAAGTGGTATCAGACAATAAATTATTTCTACACAGGCACTGAAACACTTGATCTTGTTCTTGCACAATTTTTATGAAGTTTTACCATTGGCAAATGCAGAATATTTGCTTGACTTTGTAAACAGTAAGATCTATCTTGATTAATAAGATATGTAGTTACTACTACCACATCTAGACACAAGAAAGTTACTATCTTTTTAAAAATTAGTCATATCATTGATATCCACAGGTCTAGGTATGATTATTTTACACTAAAACCAACATGTTCTCCAAGTAGAGAAAAGTAAAATTCCCTGTGGATGTTACAATAACATGTAAGTGCTTAGGATGGAACATACCTAAGCACAAAAATTGTACTTATGCCACAAAACATGATATTAAATTAGTATGGCATCGACATTGTGCCAGTATTGTGTCTATGCCTTTACCTTTTGTGTTACTGGGATAAAGAGAACGCTATATCATTATTAATCTTACCTGGCACAGATCCAGTAGTTTTTTTCTTTGCTTCCTGAGAGGGCGATTCGTCAAACTTGTCTGCATCAGGTGCTTGACTGTCTTCAGCAGCTTTCTGGGAGATTTCAAATGCAAGTTCCTTGTTGGTGTCCTTAGTTAATTCAATGCTATTTTGCTGAAGAGAGCTAATGGCCGTATGAGTTGTTTTCTTTGGTCCCGAATCAACTGAATACATGGGAATTAAAATACAAATATCGTTTCTAGGATGATGAAAAAATTGGAACATTCAAACAATGTTTGATCTGCTGGGAGAAATGAAGTTGACCTTTGGAGATCTTGTCTTTTACCTTGACAAATGTTTCTGTGAAGCAGAAGATGAAGACACCCTACCTGTGATTAAAACCTGCATCCTGCAGAGCAACACAAAACTGATGGACAACACCTGGATAGCATTAACTTTGTGTTGGTGGGGCAACTGAAACCCATGGCCACCTCTCTCTAATAGAAGGGCTTGAATCTCCCTGCCTCAATAGTGGCAGTATTCTGTACCTCAAAGTATTCCATATTTTGGATTTTGTTTTTAATTTTGGAATCCTAGCATATATAGATTGAAGTATCTTGGAGATGGAAACCAAGTCTAACCATGAAATTAATTTATGTTTCTTATATGATACTTTATATGATTTACTGCATGAAAGAAAGTTTATGTAATTAAAGTTGTCACTAAATTAGCCATCCATGTGAACCATTTTGTGGAGTATTTTGGATTTTGAAATTCCTGATAAGGGATACTTAAGTAAAGATAAATGTTTCCCCTGACATTAAGTCTAGTCATGTCTGACTCTGGGGGATGGTGCTCATCTCCATTTCTAAGCCAAAGAGCTGGCATTGTCCGTAGACACCTCCAAGGTCATGTGGCTGGCATGACTGCATGGAGTGCTGTTACTTTCCCACAGAAGAGGTACCTATTGATTTTGCATGTTTTTGAACTGCTAGGTTGGCAGAAGCTGGGCCTAACAGAAGCTCCCAGGATTCAACCAGCCACCATTTGGATCAGCAAATTCAGCAGCTCAGCAGTTTAACCCGCTGCACCACCAGGGGCCCTAAGGGATACTTAACTTGTATATAAATCAAGATGCAAGGAATATAGAGATGTGGTAGACAAAAAAATAGCCAAAGATATCTCCTCCCCTCCGCCCCAACTCATCCTCTCTCTAATTACTAACTAACCCTACCCCACAAAACAAAAACAAACTGACTTAACACAAACTACAGGGAAATTAGCCTCTAACTTGCCACTTCACAACTGGTAAATCTAATTCTTTCTCTTCTATTATAACAATAGCAAAAACTGCATTAACCATTGTAATATAAACATCTGTTTCTAGAAATATAATATCTATGACTTTACATTCCTAGCAGTCAGGCTATTAAAAATGTACCACATTTTTATCTTTCTGGGTTGACTGGTTCTATTCATAACTTTCTATAGGTGGAGAAACACACCAGGTTAGATTTTCATTCATTTGGAACAAATGTTTAACAAAACAGTCTATCCAACTGATCATCTTAACTCATCAGCAGTTTTCACTCTCAGAATAAACCCAGGGCAAGAGCCAAACTCTTAACAAAACAATATCAGCCAAGGTTTTAAAAGGCAAGGAAGGATACATTCAGATTTCACTTTTTATTTTGGTTTGATCAAGCAGTGCCTTTAGGGTATAACTGATCTTTAAAATGTTTGTTCAGAACAATCATTCCAATTCTCCTAGATTAAAAAAAAACCCAAACCCTGTCAAATTCAACTTCAGTCTCAAGCTCATTTTTCTTTAAACTTGAACAGAACTTGTCTGCATTAATGACATGGTATTTTTAATAAATATTTTAGAATGCAACTACTTGAGGGCCTAAAATATTTGTTGCAATTACAACCAATATCACATTTTTCTCAGAAAGAGCTATCCCAAGGGCAATTGAAAATGTTTTGTAATTTGAGGCAGAGTGGCAAATGTCTCCCCCCTCGTTTTCCTTCATTCAAGATACACTATACACTGATATCAAATTCACAAACCTTTCCCCTCATCTCTAGTAACAAAACAAGAATTTCAAACAAAACATCTTTTTCTTGCTTTTTCATTATCTGCTGCATGAGGTGATTTCCTCATTCTGTCTAATGTTTTCCTGTTTCTGAGTTGTCCTACACCAAGCCAGATCACTGATTCATCCAGCCCACTACTATGTGGGAGCAAGACTCTGGCAGTTTTATTTACATTCAACTATTGGCACCAGAGGCTGGCCCGGAAGACCTTCCATATGAAATGTACACTTTGCCATTGTCCTATACATTCAGCAGTTTTATACCAAACCAGACCATCAGTTTATTTGACCTTTTATTGTCTACTCTGATGAGCAGTTGGGTTTTCTGAATCTGAAGGTGAATTTATACTGCAGAATTAATGCATCTTGACACCACTAACTGCCATGACCTAATGCAATTTTTTTTAATGTCGTGTCAGGAGTGACTTGAAAAACTGCAAGTCGCTTCTGAAGCACTTCAGAAGCGAACCTAATGCAATTGAATCATCAGGATTTTAGTTTTATAAGCTTATCACTACTTACTGTCCTTAATTCCATCCTATTGTTGTTTACTCATTATATTTACTGCTTTTTTATTTACTATTACCTTCCTCTGTTATTTGCTGCTCCAAAATGCCATCAAAGGTACAAATGGGGCCCCATAAGTCAGTGTTGCAACATACCTTTTTGTGTATGGGAGCTCATGTATAATGTAATAGACATGTGCATGGAATTCGTTCCTACAATTTCTACAATTTCTTTCATGTCTTCCACCCCTTCCCACACAAAAATCTGCTCAACACGAAAGCCTGCTTTCGTGTGCATTTAAACTTGCCTCCTTGCCTTGGAAAGAGAGTATGTGTGTGGCAGGGTATGCATTCAGGCAGGCCCCGAGCTTGACTACAGGCACACTCGGGGCCTGCCTGCATGCCCTGCCACACACACACTCTCAGAGAGTGTGGCGAAATCTGTGTGGTGGGGCGTGCAGGCAGGTCCGGAAAGCATGTGCACCTGCCAGTGCCTACAGCCCAGCGCCTCTTAGTCAAGAGTAGAAACAGCAGATGCCAGGTAAGAAGAACACATGCCAGGAAGAGGACCCAGTGGGTGGGAACCCCCCACCCATGATGGTCCTATTTTCAGGCCCTGAAATAAAAGACTTGAGAACAACTCTCCCAAATTCTGGGAGGCTCACAAAAAACAGATCAGGACCCCCAACGAAAGCCAGGACACAAAATGGGGCAAGGTTTACCTCGAATGCACTTGTCTAGTATGTACTGTATATATGTGTGCTCCACCTGAGCTGAGAGGACTGAAAACAAACAAACACTACTATCAAATATTGGATTTTTATATGGCAATGTAGAATGGGCTTTAAGCAAGTCACCCGCTGTTCTGTATGGGTGATAGAGATTCGGTTCAGTCTCTATGAACACAGAAGATTCAAATTGGTTTTAGAAAGAATACTGTTTTACACATCTGTTACTTGTGTGATTATCTTTCAACTTCTCCTTGCTGTTGGTCTTCAAGGGAGGCATTGTAAACTGTGTTCTCACCTTGCCTGTATATAGCAGCTATGACTCCTGAGTGAATGTACAGGGTGTTTCAAAAAAGATGGACCTGATTTGAAATCGCTAGATCTCTACAACTACGAACCACCCATGAATAAAATTCCTGACATTTGAAAAGGGTATGCATTGAGTTTTAAATAATCATGTATAACTCTATGCCCACCCTTTCAAGTGGTCCAAGTTTCAGCACACAAATGACTGAGGCTAGGGGCACAAACAGCCCCTAGCCTCAGTCATTCGCAAGATGGTGACCTCATAAAATTAGCCCTAATGAGGTCTTCTCCATTTGTGGAGAATGTTTAAAAGATGTATTTATAGCTCAAAATGGTTAGTAAAAATTGATAATCTGAAAACCCATTAAACCTTTTGTAACTTTGCATGTAATTGTTACATGTTGCCATCGTGAAATACAGTTTTGAAATTGGGTCCATCATTTTGGAATATACTGTAAATAAAATAAATACAAACTAGTACTTAAATGTCCTGCAAACTCACATTTCTGACAAAAAGCTTCATCAGATCCATCAGGACACTGCTCCAGGCCATCACAGGCAAAGGTGATGTCAATACAGCAGCCATCATCACAAAGGAACTGGTAGCGTGAACAACTCCCAGAACATCCTGCAAGAATGCAATACTCAAATAATAAAAATCCCTGAATAAGTAGTCTAAAGGTTAGATAAAACTAGTTATCTAGCACTGGAAATACAGGGGAAGAAACTACTAAGTATTTACCTTCTTAGTTGTGAAAGCTTTCTCTCATATCCACATAAAAATGATTTAAAACTGCTAAATAAATCTTTTAAAAAGAAAGAGTAGCAAACTATCAAACAATTAAAACAGATTCCTGTACTCTGTAACCAATAGATATACTCACAGATCATGCCTGCATGATAATTTGTTAGCTCTGAACAACATATCAGTAGAATGATCAGATGCAAAAGCAGGACCAGGCTTCTACATATTCAGTAATCATGCAGCACATATAATTTCAGCAAGTGTTCCTTGTCATTCTGATTAGTTTTGTGTGCCTTTAAGTCATTTCTGACATATGGCAACTCTAAGGTGAACCTTCCTGGGGATAGGACTATGTAAGTTTTCCAAAGTCACTCAGAAAGTTTTCATTGAGCGGGGAATTGAATCCTGGTCTCCAGAGTCCTAGTCCATTTGGATTATACCTACTGAAATGTCCTCCTCCACAGAGCTATTAAAAATGAAGAGTTCCTAGTCTCTTTTGCAACTGATCATCCTTCTGGCCAGTGTATATTTCACATGATATTATCAAAAACAATGTCACTCCCAACTAGTTTTGCAGATAGTACACTGTTGCAAAATAAATGCAATTATTTTCTCACCTAATCTGGGAAGCACTGTCACTGAGACATTATCAGAGCTCCTTTGGCCAGCGGTGTCAGTCACAGTCAACTGTAAGATGTATTTACCTTCCTGCAAGTGAGAAAGCTTCAGTGTTCCAGGCTGAGGTACCTGTTCCAAAGAAACCAAGAAATTAATTGATAGACTTCTAGCCCTTACACTCTAGTTGTCAGATCATATTATTAAAAAGCATCAACATGTAGGAAGAATAATAAGCATACTAAATACTACTTTATTTATATACTACTTTATCCAAATTAATTGGGTTATTTTAAATACAGATAAATTGGTAACCTTACTATGGCATTATACTAATTATTCCTCTCCCTCATGATTGTCTGTAAATTACAGTTGAATAATTTGAATATCCCTGCACTGGTGGTCAGGGTACCTTCCAAAATCGCAGACACGAAAGAAGTACAACTCTGTCTTAAGAGACAGGATAGGGTGTAGGAAATAGCAACCTTCTTCAAGCCTCCACTAGTAATTTGTTTTGTATATGATTCTGTTTGCTTACCGTATTGTACATGTATGTTTTGGTATGCAGCTTTCCCTTTACTCTATGTTTCTTGAGGTTGTGGGAGGGGCTGCAGACCACATGATCAGATCTGAGACTGCTCAGAGCTCAGACTTCATTTTAGAGGACAGACACAATTAAACTTTGGACTGTTAAGAGCAAACTCATGTTGCTGTTGATTATAAGAAAGATGCCCTGTGTTATCTGCACAGAGAAAGGAATTAAAATCCATCTGTAACTGGATCGACAAGTTATGTACCAGTATGCTGAATACATGAAGGTTGTGAGTAAACCAGATATGTAAAAATAAAAAAGTTAAGAAAAAACAACTGCATATTTTTTACTATTGTTGTCATTATGTTTATGTTTATGTTTATTTATATCCCACTTTTTCTCTCTACAAGGAAATTCACAATGAGTGGCAAACATAGACTCATAGAATCATTGAGTGGGAAGAGATCTCGTGGGCCATCCAGTCCAACCCCCTGCCAAGAAGCAGGAAAATCGCATTCAAAGTACTCCTGACAGATGGCCATCCAGCTTCTTTTTTAAAGCCTCCAAAGAAGGAACCATCTTCTTGGTTGGGGAAGGGATACTTCATAAGGCGAAGCAACTTCTACATGTCCTGTCTTTCATCATAACCTTAAAATAATATTATGGGTTAATTGCCAGGAACAATACTGAGGTCTGGAAGGTTTTATTCATGTACATCTGAACATGATTAAATTTGTTAGCATCTGGGGCTTTGAAGTATAATTATCTTTTCTATTTAACAGTATTTAACAGTAGTAATGTGGACATTCAAATTACCTACTTTAAGATCCACTCAAAATAAAGCAAAAAAAAAGGTCAGAAAGTGGTGGTGGTGGTGGTGGTTGTGGTGGTGGTGGGGAAGATGGATGAGTTCAGTTGCTTGGGGAGAGCAATCACAACAATCAGGTTTTTATGTGATCTGAAATGCACATAAATGCCCAGAATTATGTGCAGCAGAGGAACACTTCATAATCCATCTCTACAGCTCTACTGGATTAACAACTCTGTTTTATTGTTTCCAGGATTTGGGGGAAATCAGTGATGTCAAGACCTGTGAACCATGTAGAGTAGTGGCATGCCTTCATTGAGGAGCCTCGTGCTTGACCACTGGTGTTGTAATGTTGCTTCTGCAATTCAGATCCTTATATCTGTTGCAGAACACCAACCAACCCTCCTCACAGGACAATCATATCATGTTTGTTCAGACTACACGTCATTGCCCTGTTCTGTGGCTCAAAGCGACCCACCAGAACAAAGGGTTCTTTTAAATAAGCAATGAGAGAAGTCAGGGTCCCTCCACATAGCCATATAACCTTGAATATCAAGGCAGGTAATCCACAATATCTGCCTCGAACTGGGCTATCTGAGTCCATATTGCTGTATAATCCAGTTCAATGTGGATTTTATACAGCTGTGTGGAAGGGGCCTCGGGTCTGGGTTGGCACAAGGAGTCCTCAAGAGCATTGTTATTTTGAGTTGCTGGCAAAGGGAGTGCTCAATAAGCAAACCAAGATCAGATAAACCAGAGGTTCCCAACCTGTTGTCCATGGACCACCAGTGGTCTGCAAGAACTAAAATATGGTGTGCGACCTCACCATTACTACACCATTGCAATGAGAGTGACTGGTCTCACAAAACCCTCTTATAGTGCTGAGGGTTTTCCGTGAGCAAGCAGGTGGCAACTATTGGATGGCATTTGTTCTGTATCAGAAACTAGAGCTGATGTGTTTATCCAATGCAATTTTCTGAATCAGTATCCCAAATAACCAAACCAAATCTAAAGTTGACCAAAAACTAATTCATAACACTTTTGATACTAAAGTTGGAGACTGACCCCTGGTCAAAGTGATCCCTGGTCAAAAAATGGTTGGGAACCACTGAGATAAACAGAAATGACTAACTAGGTCATAACTCAATGTGAAGACAATGTGACAGAGTAGTCTAGAAAGTCTAGAAAGTCAGGGTATTTTACTATGCTGAGACCAGGAATCAGGATAATATAAGCCAGTGTTATGCTCAGAAACGTACAGCTGGAATTAAGGCTATGCCTGCTGTCACCACATCTTCATCCTTTTGCATACAGACATCACTGTTATGGCTAGGTTGTTACTACACCATTCTTTGAAGAAGCCAGGTGCTTTGTTCTGGCTCATCACTGATACTGTTTAGATTTTGTCTGTCCTTTCTTTTTCAGAATATTTATTTATTTTATTTATTTACTACATTTGTATACCGCTCTTCTCAGCTCTCGGGCGACTCAGAGCGGTTCACAATAGCAAAATTCAATGCTTAAGAATATGTCTCTGCCTTCTGTTTCTCGGAAGGAGATGGTTCAACTGAAGGTTTCAGCTCCAGAAGTTCCAGAGGGCTGTCACCAGGAATGTTAATTTTAACATCCAATGAAGTATCTTCCAGATGGGGCATGTACAGATTCTTTGGTATTGGGTGCTGGTCTACCACAATTTTCATCCAGCCACTATAATACATCAGCTTTTTTTCTAGAATTATAACAGCAAGTTAGTTTTTTGTTCATGTGTAGATGGATAAATTAGGAGAATAAGGATGAATTTCCATGCATACCAAACAGCAATAGAAAGAAACACTGCTATAGTCCTCCTGTCTATCAGTTTTCCTGTAAACCTGTCATGGAATTACACTATTTATTATGTTACAGGATGGAACTAGGCAGTTAATTTCCGAATAAACTGCCACGTTGAACAGTTATATGGCTTTATATACACTGGAGTCATTTAACGAGCAAACTCTTCTTTGCTCCAAACAACTGTTACCTGATCTAAATAAGTGTTAAACCTTTCATCCACAACATAGTGGCAACAATCTGATAAATTCGCTCTAGAATACATCCTTCTCAAAGCAAAGTCGACTCAAGCAAAAGAGTGCTTGCTTTTTATCTTGTTCAAACTTACAGTTCTATTTAGTCCTGTTCCTTTGAACAAAGAAAATCCAGTAAGTAGCTAGCATTTGATATTTGATATGTAAGCTATGAGCAAATAGAATTCATAACTGACTGTACAGCAACTTCTGGTAAAGGAATACCATAGAATTACCTGGAGGACCTGGAAAATTCCTAAAAAGGACATATTTTAGGTATGCAAAAAGGTGAACCAAGGAAGACATAGAATTGAGTACCTACAGTTGGAGTAGCCCCTGCAGTTGGATTATACAAACTGCTGCAAGACAGTTTTGCACAGAATATTTGACTATACATTAACCTAATTCTTTCACAAGTGAAAATTTTAAAGAATAAATACTCATTAGGAAATCTGATTTATGCCTTTATGACAGGCATGGGGAAACTTTGACCCTCAGCTGGTAGGGTGTTAGGAACTGAAGTCCAAAACACCCAGAGGGCCGAAGTTTGCCCATGCCTGCTTTAGAACACAGCACTTTTATATTTTAATTCTTTTTCCTGGGTACAGGTTCTAGTTTACATTTGGTTCAATAGGTTGTAGTATTTTTAGTTCTGCTGCTAATTTTTATTTGTCTTACTGGCCTACTAGTCTCTTCCAGAGCAGACTTGCCTACATTTTAATGCACCATTCAACAACTGTATCAAGGGATATACTTTACTTGATTGTAACTAATAGGATCCATTATGTGCCGCTTCTACTTCTAACTTATGATTTGTGTTTAATTATTTTTGAAAGTTTATTATACAATATTAAGCAAAAAAAATAAAATAAAGTAGAACAGACTAGATGAAAATAAACAGGTTTCAACCACTCCTTGTTTACACTAGTGATCTGTTTGCAGAATTAAAACGTGTTTTTACAATATCAGCATTAAATTCAGGAAAGAATTAATATGTGCTCCATGGTTTGATGTACCTTCATATCAAATGATGAGGCACCCTGAAGCAAAGTCCATTCATACTGTATAATTCCATGGTCATCCATACTTTCCCGGCCATCCAGAATCACCCAGTCAACAGGCAACTGAAGGATAACATCTGTACCTGCTTTGCTGAGGGGAGGCTCATCGATTTCTAAATAAAACAAAGTGGTTTCGTTACTCAAAGAAAACAAAGTCCAGCTTTATTCAAAGTTGTGATTGTTGTTGTTTTCAAGACACACTTTCATTGCTATGGCATAGCTTTCAAAATTGAGAAAAGCACATCCCAACATCAAAATATTAACATTAATCCAATGCCAATCTGTGGCACAGATGAAAAGATTTTGGGATTAGGAAGCCTAGTTTCTCTGACAGATGGTTCAATTTCAAAGCAGATTGTATTCTGGCACCTATCTGGCTCATGTTTGCTTTCTGTTGGACCAGCTGTCACCAGATACAGCCAATCTGCTGAAAGCATATCCAAGAGAACAGAAACTGGCACCATCTGCATTACAGCAGGCCCTCCACTTTCGTAGGGGTTCAAGGCACAAGACCTCTCCCAAATGTGAAAAAAGCATGAAAAATGTATTAAAAACCTGGGAGAGCGCCTTGCACTGGAGTACCTAGAGATTCCTAGAGAGAATGTATTAAGTCTTAACCAATTTATTGTCCTAGAGATGTGCTTGTCTGCAGTATGCATTGCAATCCAGCACTTCTGGAGGGCAACTAATTGGGCAAAGGGCCTCTGCATTCACAGGAATTAGGACAGTGGTTCTCAACCTGTGGTCCCCCAGGTGTTTGGCCTACATCTCCCAGAAATCCCAGCCAGTTTAGCAGCTGTTAGGATTTCTGGGAGTTAAAAGGCAAAACATCTGGGGACCCCAGGTTGAGAACCACTGGAATAGGGGCATAAGACCCCCATGAAAGTTGGATGGGTTAAATTAAAAAAAAACACATTTGTGATACCTGGAAGAACTTCTCTCTATGAATGTCTAGCCCTCTAGGAAAACTCCATGGTCAACTTCAGCCAGAAGTTGACCACAGATTCATAATGGAAGACCTAGAATGAACTAGAGAAGTGTTATCCCTTGAAACTTCTAATGTTCCAGCTTGGCTCTATGCTCAATATTTAGATAACACTGACCACAGACTTACTCTGTGAGACCTAGAAATTTTTGGAGAGCACTCATCTAAGGGGGGGGGGGAATCACTGGTAAGTTAAAGAAATAGTATATATTTTCAAGTGTTGGACAATATACATGAGATGCTCACATACTATATTGTTATAAGAGATCATTACAAACTTTCCTAAAGCTTGAAGTACATATGCTAACTGTTGACTTATGATAGTTGGAAGTTGCAACAATTGTAGTACAGACCAGTATTTTGTTCTGGAGCCTCTGGACTTTGAATGCCAGTGTTTCCTGCTAACAGAAGTGGCCAGCTTTACAAATGAAATTAGTGCTCTGAATCAGGTTTCAAAATGTCATTGTTATGGGTCCTGAGGATTAATGACCATCTGGAACACTGTAATGAGGCTACCTTTAAAGGCCTGGTCTAGATACACATCAAGGGAAAGCAGAAGGAACCAATAACCAAGAGCATAACTCTGTGCACCACACTTCCACACTTTCCTATGCTACAGCTAGGACAGAAGGTTCACTGTGTAAATAAGCCTGCTGCGTGGGCTGGCCTAGTCTTGCGGATGTCTTGCAGACCGAAATGCCCCCAGGACAGTGTTGCTCAAATCCTGGGCTTAAACCAATCCTTCTCCAACACCTTGTGGGGTGCAATTGCACAGCAGAATTAATGGAGCTTGACATCCCTTTAACTGCCATGGCTCAATGCTATGGAATCATAGTGGTGGGGGTGGGGGTGATGAGGTCTGTGTTTTCAGAAAGTCTTCAGCATTCTCTGCCAAAGAGTGCTGGTGCCCTACCAAGCCCATATATCCCTGGATTCAGACCATTAAGCCATGGCAGTTAAAGTGGTGTCAAACTACATTAGTTTTATAGTGTAGATGTACCCCTCTGTCTACTGGCTATTAGGGATTGTGAGAGTTAAAATCCAAAACACCTGGAGGGCCCAAGTTTGCTCATGCCTGCTCTAGTGGCAAGGGGAGGGGGTAACAAATAACAATCATAATCACAATTCCTCCTCAGTGCTTTAAGGCTTGACCCAAACTCAGGCCAGCAGCATCAGGCTAAGAAACATAACAACAGCAGCTGCAGCAGCGATTTCCTCTTCCCCCTCTCTTTAAGGCTTGATCCACTTCTGACCCAACATGTCAGAGTAATTATTATTACTATTACTATCATCATCATCATTTCTGTTTGGATATCAGCCAGCATGACAATGCCTTATATCAAGAAATAGTTTTCTAAGACCTATGGAGATACTTGCAGGAACATCTCAGCAAGCAAAAGTCCAAAAGTGGAAGGCTAAAACCCAGAACCTCAAGCCATGGCTGATACTGAATGAAAGACTTCCCTCTGGTCACACAGAAGACTGGGCAATTTGGAAGGTGCTGCACAAGCTGTGCTCTTAAGAAATAGGGCCCCAAAGTGGGGTCCACAACATGTGAGTGTGGAGAAGAGCAAACTACAGACCACCTACTACAATGCAACCTGAGCCCTGCCGCATGTACAATGGAGGATCTTCTTACAGCAATACCAGAGGCACTCCGAGTGGCCAGCTACTGGTCTAAGGACATTTAGCACAATGCCAAGTTTTTTAACTCTGTATGTTTTAAAAATACATTACAACTGTACCCTTGGTTTGCTTCGACCCAGTGGCATCAGGGTAACAACAACAACAACAACAACAAGTTATTCGCATCTTTCCTTTAAGTGGTCCAGTCGGTTAAAGTGCTAAGCTGCTGAACTTGCTGACCGCTGGTCGCAGGTTCGAATCCGGGGAGTGGGGTGAGGTCCTGCTGTTAGCTGTAGCTTCTGCCAACCTAACAGTTTGAAAACAAGCAAATGTGAGTAGATCAATAGGTGCCGCTCCGGTGGGAAGGTAACGGTGCTCTAGGCTGTCATGCTGGCCACATGAGCTTGGAGGTGTCTATGGACAATTCCAGCTCTTTGGCTTAGAAATGGAGATGAGCACCAACCCCTAGAGTTGGACACGACTTGACTTAATGTCAAGGGGAAACCTTTACCTTTACTTTTTTTTAGTTTACCGATTAGCTGAGAATTCCAGTGAACTGAGAGTATTGTTGTTGTTGTTACCCTAATGCCACTGGGTTGAAGTTTGGGTTTTATTTATTGTATCAGAAGCAAACTGAAGGTATAGTTGTAATGTATTTTTTTCCTTTGGATTTTTTGCTGGTTGGTTGAGAGTTCTGGTTAACGGAGAGTCTAGTATTCAACCTTTCAGCCTTAAACCTAACCTTCCTTTAAGCTGACCAAAATTTCATTCCAGGGATGTCAGAGTAACACATAAAATTCTTATTATTAGTATTACTATTTCAAGGCTTATCCAGCCAGCAGTGCCAGGCTAACAATAACAATAACAAGGACCCTCTCTCGCCTCTCTCGAAGGCTTGAGTCAACCCTGGCCCATTGCCAGACGCTCTGAGGCCGGGCCCAGGCGCCGTGCTCTCTTACCGGGGCCGCGGGGCTGCTCGCGGGCGTAGCTGTGGTAGCCCGGCTGCGGGGCGAAGAGGCAGACGTGGCGCCCGCGGAAGGTGCAGTTGAAGAGGTAGCACCGGGGGGCGGCGGGCGGGGAGGGCGGCGGGGCGCGCTGGAGGACGGCCAGGGTGCAGGACTCCCGGGCGCAGCAGGCCTCCAGGCACTGGCGCGCTCCTTCCACGGCGCCCGGGGAGCCCAGGAAGGTGGCTCCCGCCGCCAGCGAGTCCTTGGTGCGGATGATGGAGTCCGGCCGGGAGGAGAAGGCGCCTCCCGTGGCGCACCGGCCGCTCTCCGCCGCCTCCTGCTTCGTCCCGGGCCCCGAAGGCTCCTCCTCCTGCTGCTGCTGCTGCTGCCGGCGGAACTGCTCCAGCAAGGACTCCACGGCCGGGAGCGAGCGCGCAGCCCCCGCTGGTGGAGGGACCCCTGCAACCGCCGAGAGGAGCAGCAGCAACAGCAGCAGGAAGGACGAGGAGGAGGAGGAGGAGGAGGAGGCCATGGCGCCGCGGAGGAGGAGGAGGGAGGCGGGCAAGGCAAGGAGGGAAGGAGCCCCTGCTACCGAGGCCGCCCCATGCTGGCCCCTCCCCGCGCAATCAGCACCACCGCTCGATGGACAGCGCCCTCCTCGCGCCCACCAGCAGCAGCAGCTCTCCCAAGCGGGCCCGGGCATCGCGCCCCGCCCGATTGGCTGGAGCCTCCCGCTCCCCTAGCCAATCAGGCCAATTGATGAGGGGCCTTCGGGCGCGCGCCTGCGCAACGCAGGCCAATCACAGCTCAACCCCCGCTTGGCCCCTAAGCCAGGTATATAGGCAAACTTGGGCCCTCCCTCCAGGTGTTTTGGACTTCAGTTCCCACAATTCTTCACGCTTAAGTGGCTGGGAGGGGGGAGAAAAGGGCCCGAGGCTGTTAGAAATTGTGGGAGTTGAAGTCCAAAACATCTGGAGGGAAGGCCATGTCTGCTTTAGGGTCAGGCATCCTCTCCACAAGCCTTGTAGCTCTACTCCAACCCTAAGACTTACTCAGGCGTGTGCCCCAGTTGACAAGAACTCTCAAGCCAAAGGCAAAATAGTAGTAGATTATTCTCAGCTGAAATTCTCAGGCAAGCGGTAAAAGAAATCGATAAAATGTTAATACTCTCAGTGAACCAAAACTCTCAAGCAACCAGTAACTCTGCGTTAACCAGAACTCTTAAGCAAGGGCAAAAAATTCCAAAGAAATAATACTAGATGCTCAGTTAACCAGACCTCTCAAGCAACCAGCAAAAAATCCAAAGAAATGCTTGTAGACTCTCAGTTCATTGGAGTCCTCAGATGCAGCTACCTAGAACTTTCAGGCAACTGGTTAAAAAATTTTTTGAAAGAAATAATAGTATACTCTCAGGTAACTGGAACTCTTTTTCTTTAAAAAAGAAAAGCTTTTTTAATAATACAGTAAAATTGGAAATCTGTCTTATTTCATTTTATTTGTCTTTATTTGGTTTTAATTACTGTATGTCAATATTCTAATAGTAATAATAATACATTTTATTTACCCACCTCTAGGCAGGATACAACACAGTTGTAACACACCAACATAAAATACATACAACAAACTCAATTTATATTCAGTTTCAATTTGTTTTGAATCAAAATATAAAGTCAATGCAAATTATGGTATTATATACAGTATGGAATATAGTATTAGGTGATGCTACTAAGGGTTTGCAACATGCTTTTTCTAAGTTATAGAAAGGATCAGGGTTTTTTCTGTTGCAGCTGTTATGGGTTAATTGAATGTATGATTATCTCCTGTATATAGTTAGCCACTAAGTGTTTGTAACTTTTGAACATTGTGTTCTAAGCTTTGCTTGAGGGCTCGATTTGACCTGAAAAGCCTTTGGTGCTGGGAGCAGTTCTGCAAGCGTCCTGAAGATAAAGTTTGCTTATGGCAAGACAAGGTCACTCTATGGACAACTAAGTAAGAGAGACTGTATATTATTCTGTTACAAGTCTGCAGAGCGTCGTTGAATGAAGAGAACTCACAGAAGATATTGTTTTTGTTACGTTTTGATGAGAGCAATTCTTCTGTCTTGTTTTGTAACCAGTGAATAGAACTTCATTTTATTTCTACTTAAAGCGAAAGACTCATGTGTTTTCTTTATGAGTTATTTTTATCACACTTACGAGTTAAAACGGCTAGAGTGATTCTGTGGGCTACTTACGCTAACACTGACATTAGGCCTATTTTAGATAGTAAATCAAGCAACCAGAAACTACATTCATTTGGCTTCTGTCAATCTCGATGGGTGAGTGTACAAGATCAGGATGTGGTAGAATTAAAAGACAGGCAGATGGTTGGCTACCTGGCGGTATATATGTGTGGGTGGCAGAGGAGCAAGGATAAATTAGATGGACTACCATGTCTGTACAGTAGGACCCCTATATCAGAGGGACCTATAGCCTTGGTTTCATTTACCCACTTCCAAGAAAATATGGCATCTATAGGCATTTTCTAGGTCTTCAAGTACTGCTCCATGGCATTGAAATCATATAGCAAATTTTAAAACAAATTTAAATTAATACAAAAGTTTAAAAGATAGATAAAACAAACTGCAATGTGTTCTTGTCTCCATCCCACCTCTGTTGAAATACGCAAGGTTCTTTTCCCTGTGACTTGAAAACTCTTATTTTCAATACCTAAACACTTTAAGGCAATTAGAAAATATTTCCAGTTTACTCTGTTTTTTGGAGAGAAGATCCTGGTTTTTAAAATGTGTCATTTGACTCTCAAATTGAGCTCATGTTGCAGTTGGGGTGGTGATGTTAGCTGGCTACTTAGGTCAGCAGATTGCTCCCACCATGGAAGGGTAACACCCTGTTTGTATTGACACTGGAAAAGTAGTATTGCTCCCCCCCCTTTGTTTTTGTTATTCGCATACATGTATTGTATACACCCATAGGTATTTCATCTCCCCCTTATCTCATACCAGTGTCACTTTATACAAGAGTGGGTGAGCAAAACAAGTCTAATTGATTAAGCAAATCTGATAATATATGCATGCATTGTGAGATCAGCCATAAACCGAAATGATAAAAACATGCAAACTGTGGCTACATAATGATGCTCCCCTGTAGCTTTCCAAAATGTTTTCAAGTTGCATCAAACTGGTGCAAAGATAGTAGCAGTGGAGCTGGGAAACAGTCTTATGTAGGTCAGAGCTCCATTTGTTCATATTGTTATGATGTCTCTTCAAGTTGAATCTCACTTAGAACAACTTCTTTATCAGATTTCCTTGGCAAGATATCTTTAGGGGTTTGTCCTCTGAGGCTGGGAAAGTATGACTTTTCCAAGATCACCCACTGGATTTCAGAGGCTAGCTCCCCCAGTGTCCCCACTTCCACCCCAATATCTCCCTGCTTCAATAGTCCAGCCTGAAAAGTGGAGTCCATTTATAAGCACTGGTATTCTGATTAAATTAGATAAAATTTAACAACCCTGTTTGTTTTTGTGTTCAAATATGCAAACTAGGTGGAAAATAGTTTTTAAAAAAAATTCCCCGAGTATTTTGGAATTCTGGGCATGAATACCTTTGACAACATATTTTAAAATTTGAAGAGGTTTAGATTTGGACTAAAAAGTGTCACACAAAAGACTGAACAATTGTAGCAATATGTTATTGATATCATAAATATTGAGGGATAAGTGGGGAAAATCAACAAAATTAAACTGTCAGCCTTGTTCATATTCTGCTATAAATCTGCATTAATCCCTATGGCAAAACTTTAAAGATATGTGTCGTTATGGTCAGGGGGCTGTTGTATTTTGTCCCAAAGAATTCAATCAGGAATTCTGTTAAGGCAGATAACATTATGACCACACCATTTCCTCCAATTTCTGAAATTTCTGTTTCTTCGAGTATTCTTTACTTTTTTATATATTTATTTGCTATACTTGTATACTGCCGTTTCTCAGCCTAGCCGGCGACTCAACGCGGTTTACAACAACTTATAACAAACAACAGTATACAGTTTAAAAAGCATAAAAACATAATCCACAATACATATCAATAAACAATCCAATACATCTCTTGACTAAAAACGTGATCCAGTTTCGTCGTCCAAATTGCCAGTCCTTCAATCATTACACTTATTGCACTGCTCGAACATCCAGGTTTTTAGTCTTTTCTGGAATACCATCAATGAGGGGGGTGATCTTACCTCCATGGGAAGGGCGTTCCAAAGCCGCGGGGCCACCACAGAAAAGGCCCTGTCTCTCGTCCCCGCCAGCCGCACCTGTGAAGCAGGCGGGATAGAGAGCAGGGCCCCCCCAGAAGATCTTAGGGTCCTGGTGGGCTGATAGGCCGAGATACGTTCGGATAGGTAAGTTGGGCCAGAACCGTTTAGGGCTTTAAAGGCCAACGCCAGCACTTTGAATTGAGCCCGGTAGCAGATCGGCAGCCAGTGGAGCTGGTGCAGCAGAGGAGTTGTATGCTCCCTGCGCTCCGCTCCTGTTAGTATCATGGCTGCCGAGCGTTGGACTAATTGGAGCTTCTGGGCCGTCTTCAAAGGCAACCCCACGTAGAGAGCGTTGCAGTAGTCTAAACGGGATGTAACCAGAGCGTGGACTACCGTGGCCAAGTCAGACTTCCCAAGGTACGGGCGCAGTTGGCGCACGAGTTTTAACTGTGCGAATGCTCCTCTGGTCACCGCCGAAACCTGGGGTTCCAGGCTCAACGATGAGTCCAGGATCACACCCAAACTGCGAACCTGCGTCTTCAGGGGGAGTGCGACCCCATCCAACACAGGCTGTAACCCTATACCCTGTTCGGCCTTGCGACTGACCAGGAGTACCTCTGTCTTGTCTGGATTCAATTTCAATTTGTTTGCCCCCATCCAGACCGTGAAGGGATCAATATAACCTCATGGTTTGCATACTTTTGTAGCATTTTGGTCAGTCATAATAAAAACATAAGTGTAGATGCTTTTCTCCTCATGTACCAATGCAGGCATATTTGTTCCTGCTATTTAGAGAGTAATTTTAAATTTTATTCAGAAGATGGCAGCACCTTACAACTTACTAAGGTAGACCCGGGTTTGTGTGTATGTGCCTATTCATAATGTTAATTATCAGATCCGTTATAGATATCTATCTTATTTCCCCTTGTAATTCATTGTTAATTGCTGCTGCATTCTTTGTTGTTGTGTTGTATGAATTCTGTTATTGTAAATGAGGCCAGTAGTTATATAAATGGTTTGTTCCTCTGTCTCAAAACAAGGTTTCGCCCAAGGGCATAGAAGGAAAATGAGAATAGAGGACAAATGTTTAGCAAGGTCATTTATGGAAAAAATATTCAAGCATGACATATTAGCCAATTGTTTTAACATTTTCTAAAAAGAATGACAATATAATCTCATATTTATTATCTAGATGCTATTTTAGCCTTTTGTTGTTTTAGTTATTTGTGCTATGTTTTAAAATTTCACACATTATGGTGATCTTTGGCTACTAGACAATATGGATGTACAATACATGCTGGACTTGAGCCTAACAAATAAGGAGGAGGTAGTCACTGGAATCAATGTACTTGTAGTTGATATTTTGGGTGAAATGACAACAAATCTTAGATTTCACAATTGTGGGACAAGGAAAATAAGGAAATAGTCAAACAGAGACCTTGAATTCCAGGAAAGATTACAATTCAGCCATGTAATAAGAAAACGAAACAAGTGAGAGTGGGATTTTTTTGA